TTGAAAATAAAACCACAGGCACTCTACTCCTAGAGGTTTAAATATACTTTTAAAACACAAATGATGTATACCAAATGTTAATATCAATAATAAAAAAAAGTAAATGAAACAATACATTATGGCCGATAAGTAATGCTAAACAAAATGAAAAATAAAGTTACTGTTATTGAAAACAGTTGACTTTTTGATGGTTTCTCATGGATGTCATGGAGGTGGTTTACCTATCTGTTGCAGACACTGAGTTAAAATATATCTAAAATCTCTTACTCAGAGCTGTCAGCAAGGAAATTATTGTCACAGTTTTGTAATTTATTATTAATCTTGAAATTATAAAACCATTTCTTTAAATACACATTTTATAATATACTTTTCTAATTCAGGCTGGATTTTTTTTTTTTTTTTCAGTTAATTCAAATTGAGATTTTTTTTTTTTGGTCAGATTATCTTAGAACTTTAAGTGAAAACTTCGTGTTAATTGAAAAGGAATTACCTTTCTTCCAGAATCAAAGATCTGCTGCTTTGGGAGCATCACAGATTCCACAGAAAAGACTTCCTCTCTTGGAACTTCCATGTGTTGAAGATGGTAAAATGACACTTTCAGGAATTTTTCCTTATTATAAGTATATACTAGAAATAATCTTTGTTTATTTATTTTTTTGTTTTTTGTTTTTTTTAAGCTCCAGACTAAGTTTAATCAGTTGCCTTACTGAACAGTAATCAAATAAACCTGAGATAGAAGGGATCATTTTTTAATGAGTTCTATTAACTGTATACTTGTGCTTAATTTAACCATATCTGAATCCATTCCTCAGCATGGAATCATCACTGTTTCACATGAAACTATTATACATCCTCTTTTTTTTACTATTTTCTGATTTTTTACATGACAGTGGCAAATATCAGTAAATAGTATATCATTTGTACTATGTGCTATTTACATCAGTTGGTTTCTAAACACAACTAAAATTCATTTTTCTACCTGAATGCCACATTGTAGAAAGTATTAATTTAAAAATTAATTCCAATCAATATTCTATCCAACAGTTTAAAATATAAATCAAACATATATAAACATGTTGGTACATAACTAACAATAATAGACTTAAGGCCATTTCAAGCAGTAAAAATAAAGATGTTTTATCTATATATGATATTCTTTGTCATTGCTTTCTAGATATAAGCTGGATTTTGTGCTTACACTTTTTTTGGATGTTACTTGAACTTTCAAGACTTAGTATCCAAGATATATGAGGGAATAAAAATGTTTCTGACATGTGGAACTATTTCAAGCAATTTTTTAATTTAAGCAAAAACAAATGTAGCTGTACTGTCCCTTATTGTTTCCTCTGTTCTCTTGCAATAAGATAAAGTATTTAAATCCACTAAACAGACATATTTATGTGTAGTTTTAATAATGCTAGACTAGGCTTACAAAATAGATGAATTACCCAGAAACTGTTGATTCTCAGAAAGGGGATATAAAGAACAAAGGAATGCAAGATCATAAGAAATGCAAACAAATGCTTGGAAGTAATGTGATGGTCTCAACCACTGACAACTTTGCTTAATTCATTCCACCTATCAATCTGAAATTGAGCTTTCAGTTTTTCATAATTGTGCATTTATAGTAACATGCTTCTGTTAAAATACAATAGAGTATATGTGTTGTATATCTGAGTCACAAGTATCTATATCAAGACATGTCTGTATAGATATTTACATAAAATAAGGAATATATTAGAGTTAAAAATGCTACCTTATTTGCAGGTCTCTTAAAATGATTTAATGATTTGATTTAATCACTTCCAATTGAGTACCTTTAGTGAGTCACATCTGAATATTTCTTTTCTGCATATAAAGACTTTGCTTTGAAATATACTAATACATCCTTACAGTTCTATTGATAATTATATTTGTTACCATTTAGGATCAATAATTTCAAATGATACTTTAAGTTGAAATAAGACACTTATTATTACTATTTTACTTCAAGTCCAATTTTAGTTCCAAAGAAGGCAGTGCTATCTTAAAGGCTTGAACAAGGTTTTCTTTGTCTCTTACTCCAGGAAGATCACTTAACAACAAACACTTGAGGTTACAAAGTGATACAAAGCAATGATGCCTTTGCTTGTGATATTTCCACATGAAATTATTTCCATTTCCAACATGCTTTTCTGTAAATTTTCAAATTGACTAAGTCTCTCCAAACAATAATCCTCAATATAGTGACACTTGCATAGCTTTATTTTTTCAACATGCTGCAGGCCCTCTAAGTAATCAAATCCAATTCTCATGATACATGAGTCTGTGGCATCGATAGCCTGAATCATTATTTGTCCAGAGGGCCTGTTGGGAGGCTGTTGTAGTCCTTCTGCCACCTGTGCTGGCCGTGGTAGCGCACCATAGCCCCACAGCGTAGCAGCCACTCGGAGGCTGCCCTGTCTGGGCCTACGTCCTTGATGCGTTCATAATCTACTTTATTAAACACTGCATTCAACCAGTCCCAGAAGTAACGGGAGTCACATGACCATGGGAGTTTCTTTAAGCCGCACAACTGCTGGAAAGTTTTTCTAAGCAGCATCATTTGATGGCGTCGGAGGCCCGGACCCAGCGCGTGTCTTTCACGTCAGCAGCGGCGCCGGCTGGCCTAGAAATAACCTTTATATGATCTTAAGACCATATGAAGAACTGCAGGCTCTGGCAGATATTTATGTATTTTCCAGAAATTTTGACTAACATTCCTTTAATGAAATATAATTTCATTATCTTTAGAGTTGTTTTCCAGTGGAATTTTTGGAATGTAAAGTTGGGTACATATTCACAAGGATCATTAATATAATTAATCATCTTTATCCCACTATAAGTTAAGACTGCCATAAAACTTTGTAGATGACTTACAATGTGTTCCCTAGTTATTTGGAGAATTTTTTTGTAGTGAATTTTTAAATTTTTCCCTTTTTGTTATTAAAGGATAAAAAATGCATTAGTATCTACTTTAATGCATGAAAACTTGTAAATATTTTGATATAAAGTATTTGTTTTTATTTCTCTATTTTCAAATTTACTCTGTTTTAACTTTTTAAAATTGCTAAACATTGAGAGAAATTGTCATGTGCATGCAACTTTTGAAATAGAGACTTAAGTGTTTTAGTTGTAGCGTTCATATTATAGAAAAACTTAAAAACATTATTAGGGCAATTATTTAGATGATTGAATAATGTGTATGATATTTAGATTCAGAGGAAGAATTTTTTGATGCACCATGTAGTCCTTTGGAAGAGCCTGCTCAGTTGCCAACTAGAAGTAGAAGTAACCAACAGAGAAAAGCTCTAAAGGAGGACTGTCTAAAAAATATGACTCAGTGTAAAATAAGATTTGAAGTGCCAGAGGTATGTACCATAGAAAAATTAGTAGGACTTAATTATCATTATTAGTAGGACTTTAATTATCATTTCTGCTGTCCACAACTTACGTATTTGATTTCATCACTAATAGGCACTGTTGTTTTCATCCTGTTTAAGCCAAATCCAAGTGATACTGACTGATTCTCCCTTCCTTTTCTTTGAAGATTAATTTCCTTGATGAAGAATTGGGAGGTTAAATGATAAATTGTATTTACTTTGTAAATATTTATTGAAAAATAATTATTTATAAAATGTGTGAATTGTGTGTGTGTATAAAATTGCCTAAATTTTAAATATTTATATCATGTGTTTACCTCATATGTCATATTACCACCACCCACATAAACAATTATTTTAGGTAGTAGTGGTTTCTTTTTTCTTCTCCAGGTTTTGATTCAGTTTTATCACTGTGTTGGAGATTGTGAACTACCTGTGGTAGAAATTAAAGTCTTAAAATTGGGTACAGAAATTGAGTTTAGAACGTTGGATTTGAAAGCAAATGCCTTTGTGAAAGAGTTCTACTTAAAATGCCCAGAATATTGGGGTAAGAATCTATTTATTTAAAATAAATGAATTAATTTTGTTTGACATCCTACTTGGGAGTCTTAAATTCTCAAGGTTTTAAAATCAGTACCTTTGCTAATACATCTCAGAAATACTGTGCTGGTGAGATAGTTTTTTATTTTAATCTTATACTTGGGAACCTAAGGGGATTGACTGCAAAGAAAATGATAATTTTTTCATTGAAGAAAATAAAACAGTCATGATTTAATTTTAAATCTACTTAATTATTAAAACATTTAGTTAATTTCTAATGATCGTGTAATAATTTACCACGGTTACTGCTCAAAAAAACACAATTTATTAAAGTTCTGCAGCTGACCAGTCTGCCACAAATTTCAGCAAGAAAATAAGATGTTTATAGGAGTTTCTGTTTGGAAACTCTAAAGGGAGACCCATTTCTTTCTTTCTTTTTTTTTTTTTTGAATGTTTGTAGCAGATTTATTTATAATTGCCTCAAAATGCAAACAACCCAGGTGTGAATGGATAAAAAAGTGCTATGTCCAGATAATACAACTTCATTAGTAAAAATGAGCATACAATATTACAGATGCATTTTAATTTATTCATTTGTTTGCATTGAGGCAATATGGGTTTACAATCATTGCATATTTTTTTTTTAATAATAAATTTTATTTTTATATTCCCCATACAATTGCAGCCCCCCCATTCTGACCCCAATCCCTCCCCTCCCACCCCCGCCCCCCTAAAAGTGTCTCTGGTTCGTAGTTTTTTGTTGATTTTGATTTTCACTTTCTTAGAGTTATTCGTTTTCCTGGTCCCTTATTTAAGTTTTCTAGATTCCTGCTATGAGTGAGACCATCCGGTATTTTTCTTTTTCTTTTTGGCTTATTTCGCTGAGCATGATCCCTTCCAGTGCCATCCATGTTGCTGCAAATTGCATGTGTTTATCTTTTTTGAATGCTGAGTAATATTCCATGGTATATATGTACCACATCTTCTTGATCCAGTCATCTATTTTTGGGCATTTGGTTGTTTCCAAAGCTTAGCTATTGTAAACAGTGCTGCTATAAACATAGGGGTGCAGGTGTTCTTTGGAATTGATGTTTCTGTGTCCTTTGGGTAAATACCTAGGAGTGGAATTGCTGGATCATATGGAAGCTCTATGTTTAGTAGGTCCAGAAATCTCCACACAGCTCTCCACAGTGGTTGGACCAGTTTGCACTCCCACCAACAGTGCAGAAGAGTTCCTTTTTCTCCACACCCTCGCCAACATTTGTTGTTGCTAGTTTTTTTAATATGTGCCATTCTCACTGGTGTAAGATGGTATCTCATGGTAGTTTTGATTTGCATTTCCCTGATGACAAGTGATGTTGAACATTTTTTCATATGCCTGTTGGCCATTTGCATTTCCTCTTCAGAGAAGTTTCTTTTTAGCTCTTCTGCCCATTTTTTGACTGGATTCTTTTCTTTGTTGTTGTTAAGTCTCATCAGCTCTTTGCAGATTTTTGTGATCAGTCCTTTATCATTAGTGTTGGGTGCAAAAATGTTCTCCCAGTTGGTGGGGTTTCTCTTTGTTTTTGTTATTGTCTCTTTTGCTGTGCAGAAGCTCTTTAATTTGATGTAGTCCCAGCTGTTTATCTTCGCCTTCACTATCACTGCTTTGGGTGATGTGTCTGTAAAGATGTCTTTGATGTGCAAATCACGTAGTGTTTCGCCTATATTTCCTTCTATGTATTTTATGGTTTCAGGTCTTATGTCTAGTTCTTTAATCCATTTTGAGTTGATTTTTGTGTATGGTGTGAGGTAGTGGTCAAGCTTCATTCTTTTGCATGTAGCGACCCAGTTTTCCCAGCACCATTTCTTTCTTTCTTTTTAAAAAATATTTTATATAATTCTTAACATCATTTTTCATTTTTGCACAATGTATGCATTTTCATTTTGGTTATATTCCCCATACAATTTCTCACCCCCCTTATTATGACCCTACTCTCTCCTCCCCTCTCCCCAACCCCGTAGTGTGTCTCTGGTTTAGTTGCTTGTTGATTTTGATTTTTTCTTTGTTATAATTAGTCTTTTTTCCTAGGGGAGACCCATTTCTTTGCCCATTTAGGTGTTGGCAGAATTTAGTTTCATGTGATTTAAGTTTGTTTCCTTGCAGCCTAGTAAGTGAAGGCTGACCTCAACGCCTAGTGGTTTCCCTTGGTCCTTGCACATAGTTCTCTGTATCTCAGAATCAGCATTGGATTGGGCATTAGGTCCTCCTTTCTTTGCCTTTTTGTAACCAATTTTTCTGCCCTTTGCTTCCTCTCTTAAAAAACTCAACTAATTAGATTGGTTACATATGGACAATCCGTGATAATTTCCTCTTAACCATAATCTCCTCTGCAGAATATCTTTTGCCGGTGAAGTAGTGTTATTCTAAGGTTTTGGGGATTACAGTGCTGGCATCCTTCTTTGTGGATGGGATGTGTCATTCTGCCTACCACAAACATTTTATATTCCGTAATCATAATGGATAAATTATATGATCCCTTAGAAGATATTCATTTGCTGTGTTAGGCTTTATAAAGGTGCTATTTATTTAGAAAGGTGCTATTTATATTTCCTCTTTTACTTATTGTGGTTTTCATGAAATATAATTCTGAATGACTGGAATGATTAAGAAAATTATTTAGTTTAATTTCATTAAACTCATTTTCAGCATAAGAACATATGATGAGATGCCTTTAAAATTTTTTTTAAATACTCTAATTTTTAGAGCAGTGTTTAAGTCACAACACAATTGAGTGGATGATATATAGGTTTCCCATATACCATTTGGAACCCATTCATGTCTGGCCTCACCCGTTATCAGTATTCCCCATCAGAGTGATATATTGTTAGAGTTGATAAATCCACATTATACCCAAACTCCATAGTTTATATTAGGACTCACCTTGGCATTGTGCCTTTCTAGGGGTTTTAGACAAATGTGTGGTAACATGTATCCGTCATTATAGTATCACATACAGAGTTTCACTGTCCTCTTAGTTCTTACCTATCCATCCTTTTTTATCTTCCTCCAACATGTGGCACCTTTGCCTTTTACAGAATGTCATATAACTAAAGTAATGCAATATGTAGCCTTTTCAGACTAACTTCACCCACTTGGTAATACTATTTAAGTCCTCTGCACAGCTTTTCATCACTTGATAGCTCATTTCTTTTGAATGCCAAATAATATTCCATTGTGTACCAGTTTATCCATTCACCTGTTGGAGGGCATCTAGGTTTCTTCCAAGTTTTGATAATTCTGAATAAATCTTAAGCTAACATCCATATACAGATTTTTGTGTGGAAATAAATTATCAGTTACTTTGGGTAAATAGCACATAGCACACTTGTTGGATTATATGGGAGGAATGTGTTTAGTTTTGTAATGAACTATCAAACTGTCTTCCAAAGTGGCTATACCAACAGTGAATAAGGTTTCCTATTCCTCCACATTCTCCTTACTGTTAAGTATTAGCATCCTGGATTTTGACCATTCTAATAATTTATATAGCAGAATCTCATAGGTGTTTTAATTTGCATTTCCCTGATGACATATAACGTAGAACTTCATTTTTATATGTTTATTCTTGGGTGGGTTGTCTGTTAAGATTGTGACTTGTTCTGTTACCATGTCTCACAGTCTTTTAAGAGTTCCTTACATATTTTGAATAGTAGTCCATTAACAGATATGTCTTTTGCAAATATTTCTCACTCTGTAGCGTGGCTTTTTATTATCTTGAGAGTTTCAGTTGCAAAGCAGAGTTTTTAATTTAATGAAATCTAGTTGATCAGGTCTTTCTTTTATGAAGCATGCCATTGGTGTCATATCTAAAATGTCATGGCCCAATCCGGGGGCATCTACATAGTCTATGTTGTCTTTTTGAAGTCTCATAGTTTTGCATTTTGAATTGGTCCATTTTGAATTAATTTTTCTGAGGGGTGTAAAGTTTGTCTAGATTCAATTTTTGTATATTGTTGTTTATTGACTTTAATGTTGAAAGTACTGTCTTTGCTCCATTGTACTGTTCTTACTCCTTTGTTGAAAAAAAGCTCACTCTGCTTCTGGGGGGCGGGGGTCTTATTTCCTGGGTTCTGGATTCTGTTCCTTTATAGTCCATTTGTCTGCACTTTTATCAATATCGTATTGTTCTGCTAATATATTTATACATTTTAGCTTTATAATTGTTAGATTTATTTAATGAAAATATGAAACTATTGACAACAGACAACCTAAGCAAAATTAAGAGACTATAGTAGATAGATTTCTGAGATAGTCCTGAGGTTTTTTTCCTTCTAAAAAAATTAAATGGTCTTTGTTTTGTTTTTGATTGCATCTTTTATTGAGGTAACATCGGTATACAATACCATGTATTTTTTCACTTTATGCTTTTTCAGGTGTGTATATACTACTGTACCATACCCACCACCAAAGCACTCAGAGCCTTCCACCATAGTCCATTGGACCCCCACCACACTTTCCCCTCTACCCTCCACCCTACCATTCTGGTAACTTCAGTTGTGAGATTTGTAGGGTTGGTTTTGGTGTGCTTTTGTCTGTTCTTTTGTTTCTCTCTATTCTGTATATGAGTGAAATGATACTGTTGTTTGTCTTTCTCCTTCTAATTTATTTCATTTCTCAAATCCCTTCCATCCATGTTGTTGAAAATGGGAAGAGTTCATCTGTTTTTTTATTTCCAAGTAATATATCATTGTGTGTATGTATATATCACATATATATATCTTAATCCACTCATCAGTTGTTTGTGTATAGGAACACAGTTTTTATATATTGATTTTGCAGCTTGACACATTACTGACTTATTGCTTCAAATTATTTTTTTTTTGTGGAGTCTCAGGGTTTTCTGTGTATATTAACATGTCATCTGCAAATAGTGAGGTAGTTTTGCCATTTGGATTCTTTTTGTATCTTGCTCTTGTCTAACTCTTCTAGCTAGGACTTCCAATATTATGTTGAATAGTACAGGATATTCTTGTTGTTTACCTGCTCTGAGAGGATAAGCTTTCAGCTTCCCACCATTCAGTATTATGCTAACTGTGGGTTTGTCATATATGGCTTTTATTATGTTTTAGTGTGTTCTTTCTCTCCATTTTTTGACAGCTTTTATCATAAATGGATGTTGAATCTTATGAAATGGTTTCTCTGCATCTGTTGATATGATCATATGATTTGTATCTTTTTGTTGAAGTGGTGAATTACTTTGATTTGGATATGTTGAACCTTTCCTTGTGACCCTGGAATAAATCCCACATGGTCACGATGTATTGTTGAATTCAGTTTGCTTAAGTTTTTGGTGAGTTCAACACTCACTGACAGTGATCTGCAGTTTTGTGGGTTTTTTGTTTTTTTTTAATATTCTAGTCTGTTTTTTTATGAGTGTAATGTTGGCCTCATAAAATGTGTTCCTCAGTTTTTTGGAAAAGATTGAGAAGGATAGTTATTAGTCCCTCTTTAAAGTTTGGTAGAACTCAATAGTGAAACTCTTGCCGTGGGCTTTTATATTTTAATGCCAGACTTGGTAACTGTTTCAGTTTCCTTTCTTGTAATTGGTGTGTTCAGGTTTTGTATTTTTTCTTGATTCAGTCTCAGAAGGTTGTATGCTTCTAAGAAATTGTCAATTTCTTATTGGGTATCCAGCTTATTTGCATCTGGATGTTTATAGTAGTCTTTCATGAATCTTTGTATTTCTCAAATGTCTGTTGTAACTTCTCTTTCATTTCTGATTCTATTTGTTAGAGTTTTCTCCTTTTTGTTCTTTGTGAGCATAGCTAAAGGTTTGTCTGTTTTTTACAAACAAACCAACCAACAAACGAACAGCTTTTGGCTCAGAGCTGCCATTCCCAGGCTGGGTGATTTGCCAGAAACTAGGACCCTCACCCAGCATGCTCCCAGCCCTCCTGGCCACCATAAACAGGCCTGGAACTCCTGCTCCCTGGCCAGGTGAGACCATAGAGACAGACAACAGTTAAAAGAATAGCCATTAGGCTACCATCGGACTTCTCTGAAGAAACACTATGGACAATAATAGAAAAGAGTGAGGGCCTCCCTGGTGGCACAAGGGGTTAAGTCTCAGCACTTTGAAGCTATCAGCAGCCACTGCAGCACAAGTTAGATCCCTGGCCAGGTAGCTGATCCACACGGCACAGCAAACCTCTCCTGTCTTGCCCCCTGCTCCCCTCAGCAGAACATTTCAGTCCATCTGCCTGTTCTGATCCCCACTGTCTCTGGTGAATCCTCTCACCTCCCTCCACACCTCTGGCCTACCCCCCAGCTCTTGTATGCATAAATAAAATAAATCTTTTTTAAAAAGAGGAAAAAAATGGCATTCAAAATAACCCAAGACAAAACAAGCCAGCCAAGAATACTTTATCCTGCATCACTCTTCTTCCTGCAAGAGAGAGAAATATGGAACTTGGTCGGCAAAGAAAATGTTAGGGAGTTTGCATCCATTAAACCTCCCTGCACAAAATATTAAAAGACTCTTTAGAATTTAAAGCCTCTAAAGAGGAGTAAACACAAAGAACTCACAAGGAATTAAAACAAACAAACTAGGAACAAAATGGCAGTAACAGACTTTCGCATATCAGTAATCACTAAATTTCAGTGGACTGAAGCCACCAATAAAAGGACACAAACTATCTCTAACAATCCAACCTTCTGCTGCCTCCAGAAACATACCCAAGTTCCAAGTGTAAACGTAGACTGAAGGTAAAGGGATGGAAAACAATTCTGGTAGCAAATGGCACCCAAAGGAAGGCAGGAACAGCCATACTTATATCAGATAAAATAGACATCCAGCTTAAAAAGATAAAAAGAGAGAGCAGTGGACATCATAATGATAAGGAAACAGTACCTCAGGAAGACATAATACTCATCAGTTTATACTCACTAAATGAAGGAATACCAAAATGCATCAAATACCATCAAACAGCTGCTATCAAATTTGAAAACACATTAGAGATTTCAACACCCTGCTGTCACCAATAGGATCTATGAGACAGAAAATAAGGATGTAATTGCCTTTAACAAAGATCTAGACCACATGGGTTTCATAGACATTTATGGGGCACTGCACCCCTCAAAAAGCTAAATATACATTGTTCTTTTTAAGTGCACATGGGTCATGCTCCAGGATTGACCACTACTGGATCACAAGGCAAGCATCAACAGACTTATGAAGACTCTGACCATAAAGATGCTGAAATGGAAATCAACTATAAAAAGAAAACAATAAATAATGAAATAGAAGCCAAAAAGACAGTCCAAAAGAACAATGAAATCAAAAGCTGGTTCTATGAAAATAGACAAGCCTTTAGGAGGGAGAAACTTCAATAATACAGGTTTGGGAGGTCTTTCCTCCCTTTTCTGAATTCCTCTCTTCCCTTCTTACTCATATCCCCTTTTGGAATGCCCACTATCCTTATGTTGCCTTTCGTAGTGGAGTCATAGGTCTCAAATTGTTTTTTTTTTTTCCCTTTGTTATTCCATCTAGTCCTTTGTACATTTTTATCTTGGGGATTACTGATTCAATCCTGCATTAGGTCTATTCTTCCATAGCTTTCTCCAAAATTTTTCATTCTCTAGATTTTTTAATATCCTGCATCTCTGTTATTTTCAAATTTATTGATTTTATTTCCATTCATTGATTTTATTTCTCAGGAAATCCATTTGGCTTTTTGAATTTTCTTGCATTTCTTTGATCATTTTTTTCTGTGTTTTCTTTGTATTCTTCCATTTCTGTGAATTTCATTATCATGGAAAGTTTGTATTTTATGTCTTATAGGAAGAACAGATTTTCTAAGTGTTTCTGATTGGGTTCTGGATATTCTCTGTGGGTTAGTAATCTCCTGTGGTCTCAGGCTGCCATTTGTTGTGTTTCCTTCTCTCCATTATTTGTTTTCTTGGCTGGTGCACTCATAAAGCCCCTGTTTAGTGTAGTTGTTAACTCTTCAGTATCCAATCTTTTGAAGTCTTTTCTGGTCTCTTCTGTCCAAAGGATAATCAATCCTGCTGCTATCTCTAGGACAGTCTCTCCAGATCCGCATCTCTCTGGTTCACTGCTTCAAGAGCCACAACCATTGTGACCAGGTCCTGTAGCTGACTCCATGGTTGGCCTTCAGTCTCCCACAACTGTGATTACAGGTTGTGCGGATCTTGGTTCTAGCTTAAGAAGCTGATGGTTTGCATCTGGTAGTTGGTGACGGTGCTCTCCGAGCTAGAAACTGGAGACCAGGAGCTTCCCAGCACTTGTTCAAGCTGTCAGCTGGAGGCTCTGCTCCTGCACATGGTAACTGGAGGCCCGGAGTGGAGGCCAGGGACTGGAGGCCAGGTGCTCCCCAGCTCTTGTGTACCCGGTTGGCAGATGCATAAAGGGCTCCTGAACTGGCAGTGGCTGCCATACCTGGAGTGGTGTTCCTCCAAGAGCCAGTGGTGGGACTGGGTCCCTACTTGATTCTTCAGTGTTGTGAGAATTGTGAGGAGATATGACAATTTTAGAGTTTAAATAATAGAGATGGGACTGTATTTTGGTAACATAGACTCTAATGCTCAGAATATAGGAAATCCTCTTTTTCTAATTATATAGTTGTTATAATTAATTATAATTGATATAATTATAATTAATACTGTCTACATTTATTTTCTGTTTTCATCTGAAACAATTTTTAAAATTTAGATGTAAAGGAGAAACCAGTTTATTTGATTACAACACTGGATAACACAATGGAAGATCTTTTAACAATGGAATATGTGCGGGTAAGCAGTTCCCACTTCTATCTGGCTGAAATGTTACAATTGAATTTTGTGAAAGTTAAGCATTATTCAGTTTAATCCTCATTCTAAGGTGATATTTTTAATTCCTAGTAATGGTAAGATTTTTTGTTTTGGTGTCCATTAAATAGTTGTGATTTAGAAATACTTTATATGTCAAAATAAGAACAACTCTACATTCTGAGTAGAAATGACCTGCACTGTGACTATTTTTCCCAATCAGGATATCAAAATGAAACAAACTTTTTAATCTTTATGGAACTTATTGTGGTATGTGTTCAGAAATGAATTTTTCACTTGAATTTCCTGTTATTTTAAATTTCTTAATTTTTCTGTTATCAATCTCTCCTTTCCTTTCCTATTGATTTAGAGATCCATTTCATCATTTATTTTTGTATGTACTATGCTGTACTTATGATTTATTCCATATCTTCATTGCCCTATTTTTATGTGTCACAAAAATTTTAATAATTATAATGTCAACCAGAGTATTTTGTCACTTTTAAGACCACTTTTACTATTATTAACATAGTTATTTTAGATTTCATTATATATTAAATAGATTTTATATTCAGTGCTCTACATCTCAAGATAACTTAGTTTTGGATACTTGGTAGATAATTCTGTAATAAACTTGAACACAAATTTTGTTTTCACATACAGGAAAAATCAAGAATAATCTAATAGTTGTTGATGCCTGAATGATTATTCTCCACACTTGATAATACCTAAATTTCCACTCTTGATAATAAGCAATAGAACATAAATATTTGCTCTGTGTCAGAGCCTGACATTTACTGTATTTTTTTTTTTTTTTTTTGTTCTGGTGAAGTAGTTGTTTGCTTAGGTAATTATATATATAATTATATACAGATATATAAATAGCTGGAAATGTTATATAAATGTATATTAGGACCATTATGTGATTGTGTAAATATATGTCTTCCTGATTGTTTTCTCTCTTTGGATAGGCTGAAAAAAATGTATCTGGTTTGAAAGGTACCTATAACAATGTTTTGCAGCTGATTAAGGTATGAATGGACAATAATTTATTTTTTTAATAAGATAGTGTATTTCTAAGTTAGTGTACTGTGAAAATTGTAACTAGAAGTCTGCGATCCTTGAGAATAAAAATTCAATATTGTAAGTTGTATGCTTTATAAAAGCACAATATATACTGCCTTATAGAGCTCAGACAAATATTTATTGACCGGTTATTAAAATTAACTGTTCCCTTAGGTGAATTTTTCCTCTTTGGATATTCATTTACACACTGAAGCACTTCTGAACACAATGAATTATTTTAATAATCTCCTTCCACAATTGGAGGAAACACCAGCCTCCATTTATGTCATGGACACTGAAGACAAAGGAGATAATAAAAAAATACGTATGTTTTTTAAACTTCAACATGGAACTTTTTTGCCAAGTAGATTAATAAATTGTGATTTCAATGTTAATTATACTAACTGACTTCAGAATTCTGTTACCTTTGTTATTTAGAGGGATCATATACTATATTAGTTTTAGAAAATAATAGTGAAGTGATTACTTCTGATAAAAATTTGGCTTTTATTCTTTTTAGTTGAAGATTATACAGTGGAAGTATTTGATTTATATTAAAATTCATGCATTGAATAACATTTTAGAATAGAAAAGTAGAGCAAAATTTGGATAATATCAAAAAATTTATTAGAGAGCTTTTTTAAGTACAGTAAAGTTGAAACTTCAATGACAGTGTCACCTCATAGTCATTGAGAATTAAAATATTTATGACTTTAAAACTACAACTTCTTGGTTTCATGAAGTTAGTCTTTCAGAACTGGTTTTTGTTGTCATTCTGTTTGCTTTTGTTTTTATTAGATTTGATTATATTTTAGAATTCCTACCCTAATTCACTAGGAAATATCTTTCTTGCTTTCAGTTGAATTATAAGTCAGGTTTCCTCTAGTGGTATCAATGTTTGTTGTCGTATTCCAGTTACTTTATAAGCTTAGTGAGGTAATTGCTTAAGTGTTTCCTTTTTCTTTTTAACAATATGATTGATTTTTGCAGCTTTAAAACTACCCAAGAATGAAGATATTATTACCTTGCAAATTTTAGCAGAATTATCATGTTTACAGATCTTTATTAAAGATCAGAAACGTAACATTTCTGAAATTAAGATTGAAGGTAATAAAATTTCAGAAAAATAAATTCAAAACTATGAAGTGAAAGAAAAGACATTTAATCATCCGTTTATTCCTTAGGGCTTGATTCTGAAGTGATTATGAAGCCTTCAGTAACTGAAATAAATGCTAAGCTAAGAAATATAATTATTTTGGATTCTGATATAGCAGCCGTGTACAAAAAGGTAAGAATTTATTCATTAATATTACATATTTGATGTTCTTTATATATGTAGGCATAAGATAGTTGATTTCAGCAATGTGGTTTATAAAGTTCATGGGTTTTGAGTTAGGGATAATTGTGTTTTTATCTTATTCTGTTTTGTAGTAGTTGTATGACTTGGATTCCAGTGAACATGATTTTTTAATAAACCACCTTGTGTAGTAATGCTCCACATGTTAAGGGACCAGAGAGGCATAATATGTTTTTTGCTCTAGTTCTAGATATAACTGTTGTGCCATGAGACACTATTGTGGCCATCTGGGTTTTAGATACAATAATATATTAAGGTCTTCAGCTTTCTGAGCACTTGTGCAAAGTTTACCTGAAGTGCTCAGACTGTTTGATTCTGGTTTGCAGTAACATCCTTTAGTTTACCCAGTACCATGGTATAAGTAGTGTTGTTATTTATGTGTGCCATGAACAGAAAAGGATTCTAGCTTATCTGACATTTCTTATGAAATAAGATACCAGTGTAAATAAGGTTCTTAAATCTTCTTTATAGACAAGTGTTTTGAAAGTATTCAAACATAGAATTACTAATACATGTTAATTCAGAGTGGTAGGTACACAAGTATTTCTATTCTCTACTTTCTGGCTTTAGTATCAGGCTAATATGGCTTCATAAAATGAATTTGAAAGTATTTTATTCTCTGTTTTCTGAAAGAAGTCTGCAGAACTGGTATTGTCTTGTTTAAGTGTTTGATGGAATTTCCAGTGAAGCTGTCTGGAACTGAGGTTTTCTTTGGAGGAATGGAATCTGGGAAAAAACCCTTTCACTTCAGCTTCATTTCCTGAGTAATGTTTTTGAGGGATATAGATAGGTTCCTTCCACCCCCACCCCCTCCCCACCTTCAAACTGTTAAAGATGTAACTTACTGTTCTTTGTGATACGTGATCTTGTTGAGAGATCTGCAGTATATCTTAACATTCTTTCTTTGTACATGATTTCTCATTTTTATTTGACTGCTTTCAATATTTGATTATGATATGTCTAAGTATATGTAAGTTATGTTTTGTTTGATATTTACTGAGCTTCTTGGATCTGTATTCCACTATTTTTCTTTATTTTTTCAAACAGTTCTGTCTCTTTTCTGCCCTCTTTCTCCACCTTTTCCTCCCCTATCTCCTTGTTTTTCTTCCTCTTGGAACGCAAATATCCCTACTACAATCCTGTTAGATAGTGTCCACAATTTGGAATCTTTAATTTTCCCCCCATTCTTCTCTCCGTATAGTTCAGTTTGAATAGTTCATGTTGATCTTTTTGTGAGGTCATTGATTTTTGTCTTTGATTCCATTAATCTGTTGAATCATTGAAGATATATTTCATGTCTGTTAGCATACTCTTTGAAAGTCTCTGCTTCCCCCCTTTGACTGTTTTTCTATTTCTGTGCTGATATTCTTCATTTGTTCTTGTGTATTTCCCACTCTTTTTACTGGAAGCATTTACCATAATAAACATACCAGTTTAAAATTCACTGACTAAAAGTTGCAGCATCTCTGTTACAGGCAAGTCTAGTTTTGTTGCTTTGTCATTTGTTAAATACTGTTTTGTTGCTTTTTGAGGTGTCTTAATTATTGCATAAAAGACATATAGGATATTGGAGACTGAGGTACATAGTACTTATGTCTGAAAAAAAAAAAGTGTATGCTCTTTTTTTGCTAGATTATTAGTGTGAGAGTTTGAGTCAATGTAGTAGAGAGTTGAGCTAGGTTTGTGTTTTCTTGTTTAATATGGTCTTCTTCAGTACACCACTGCTTCTAACTCCTTTAGCCGTATCCTAGACCAGTGCAGAGCTGGGTGGGAGTTCTGTTGATATAATCCTGCTCCAATCTCTGCTTTTGACTTTACTTCTCCCATCCTCAGAAAGTTCTTTGCCCACACTCTTTTCTTGATGTTAGATTCTACAGCTTCTTGTTTCTTAGTGCTTGCAAGCTTGGTGGTGAGTATTTGAGGGTACAGGATAGAGGTAAAGAGGTGCTTTGGGTAGGTTTTTATTTTGTCTCAGTTCAGTTACAGTCCTAAGCAAACTCTTTCTCTAGGTCTCAGAAATGGGACATTAATGGAGATCCTTTTCCTCTTCCCCATAACATTTGATTTGTATCTTTTCTTGTCCCGAGGAAAGGTGACCTTTTCCGTCAGGTCCCAGAAGGGTGTCTTCCCATAGTGTAGAGACTGTTTTCTTTTGTCTTTATCTCTGGGGAAATGTATCTCAACCTGTTCCCTGAGAGTACCAAGGTTACTGGCTTTCTTCTGGTTTCTTCTCTGTCTCTGTTATTTATTTTTATTGAGGTAGCATTGGTTTTCAACACTATGTATAATTCAGAGGTTTAGGTTCACACAGGTAAATATTAGCACAGCAAACCCACCACCAGGGAACCCATAGTTTTCCACCATAGTTCATTGGGCTCCTTCCTTCTCCCAATTTGTTAAGGCATTTGTAAGCCTTAATGAGAATAATTAAGATGAGAATAATCTTGGTACTACTTTGCACTACAAATGTCTCCCCACTTCTGGAGTTATATCAAGAAAAAAAGTTCTTTCACTGTATGCCAAATGTTTCATGTGAGTTCCCAACAGCAAACTCCCATGAAGTACTTCAAACTGAGTGTCAAATATTCCTGTGCCTATGGCTCTCAGGAATTTTGATATCTATTATTAGGTCATAGTCAACTTTTACCATTTTAGTTGAATTATTCTTACCTAACTTGTATGGTACCTCACATCTCTATGTCTCCCTCACCGTACCACAGGTCAACAGTATTTATGTTCTGTCTCTCTGAAGGTACTTTCTCTTTTTAAGGGTATTTGTTGACCTGTGCCCTCAGATTTCTCTTGACTTTAAGTAATGTTATGGTATAATTATACAGTAATGTTATAATTAATACAGTAAAGTTATAATTTACAGTTTTTTTTTTTCTTGTTGCTGGATGGCCTTCTCTCCAGCATTCTACATCTTAAGATAGGATATATGTAATAGACTTTTTTCAGTCTCATCTTCTACCTTAGCCTTCAGTCCTTCATATGTTTGGTTCCTTGGGTTTTCTTTGTTCTTTGGTTGGAATTCATTTGCTTGTTAATGGCTCTTCATTTTAGTATTTAGGATGAAGAAAACTAAGTTAGTTACTCTTTCCATCTTCAAAAATATTTTTGACTTTTCACATCTGCTGCTATTCCATCATCTTTGATTGGTATTGTAAAGTTTGACAATTTTAGTTGCTCTAGATAATTCTTGGTTGACAACTGAGAAACACTTCACTAACTAATAAGAAACATTAGTATATTGTTAATAGGGAAGACTCCTTTGAAGTATCTGGTAAATCTGTTCATGTACCTCAATTAAGGGAAGTAGATTTTGTTAAGTTGTAGAGATACAGTATTTTCCAAATTTTGACAGTAACCAAGAAATACATAAGCGGGCCTCCCCGGTGGCGCAGTGGTTGAGCACTGGGCAGCGCCAGTTCGATCCCGGCTGCCGGTCGAGGGTCCCACATGGCACGCAGACCTCTCCTGCTGCCCACTGCTCCCCTCAGCAGTGTACTTTGGTCCTTCTGCCTGTTCTGCTCCCTGCTCTGGTGAATTCTCTCACCCTCCCGCGCTTCTGACTGTACCCAGTGCTTGTATAAATAAATAAATAAATAAATCTTTAAAAAAATACATAAGTATATATTCTCAATACACAAGTAAATATTCTAAATGAAAAATTTTTTTCTGACCTCTCCATTAAAAAAATTTGGAGCAGATCTGCTAAATTGATATTATGACCTACAAAGGGAGTTTTCACCACTAATTTAAAAAATCTTGCAATTAGGTGCTAATAAAGGAGTTAGAAATATTACCTTATTTGTACATGGCATAAATAATAAGATTTCCTAATGTTTTATTATTTTTAGCTCTTTTTTTACTTAAGACATCAATTCAAATGTGGATTTTGATAACTGAATTTTCTCTCATTCAGGCTCTTTATATCACTGGAAAAGAAGTTTTCAGCTTCAAAATGATCTCTTATGTGGATGCAACTGCTGGTGCTGCATACACAGATATGAACATTGTTGACATTCAAGTTAATTTAACTGTTGGTTGCATTGAAGTAGTTTTTGTCACAAAATTTCTATATTCTATACTGGTAAGTATGTTACTTAGTTTTATAATTTATTTTATTCTCTTTGGAAATTGCTGTGATCAAACATAAATGAATAACTTTTTATTTTTCTTGATTTTTCATAATTTTCTGGGTAGCATTTGTCATGACTGAAACGTATTTTAATTGAATATCATTTCCCCATGGGGATATTCTAGTTAATTGAAGTATACATTTTATATATTGATATTAAATATGTTGATTGAATTCTTTATACATAATGATTTTGAATTTCTGTTTAAATTTTATTACCCAACTCTACTTCAAAATTTAAATCTGTAATTAAAGTTTTTTTTTTCTCAAGTCACCATTTAGAAAAATTTATTGTCTATAGCATTTTAATTCAGTGAATGTCTGGATCTTAAGGGTTTTAGGGTTAATTCCCTATGTAACACCACCTTATGATACTTGAGTTCTATTTATGCTTTTCGTAGTTTATTTTACCGGTGGTTTTTCACTGCTGTAAACTGATGAATTTTCATGTGAGTGTCATACCTATCTCCATGACTTTACTGTTTATTTTTTTTTAAAATGCTGCCTCTGTGTTTTGGTATGTAAACTAAATAATTGGTTGATGCTAAATAAAATTACTCTTGTGATTTTTGAGATCATCATTTAATTTTTCTTACAGGCATATTTTTGTGCACGAAGATAAAGATGAACAAGTATTCCTTGTCATTTTTTTTCTAATTTTCTTATAAAAAAGCATTATATCACTGAGACACTCAAATCTCAAAAGATAAATTGTTATCTTTTTACTAAACTTGGAAATTAAGTATTAATATAATGCTGTGTATATTTTATGTAACTGATGTATCTTCTCCAGAATTCTGATGCTACTAAACTTGAGTTTTTTAAAAAATATTTTATTTTTTAACTTACAAACATAAATAAACTCTGTGTATGGAAATTTATAGGGAAATAAAATGTGATTAACCATTAGAGAAAGAGAGTTAATGAGAAAATAGACAACAGTTAAACTGCAATATCCACATTTTGCATTGTTAAAGGGATAAGATTTTTATTACCTTACTGTGTTTCTGTTTTTTTCCCTGAGCTTTTAATGCAGGAAATTAATAATTAATATTGCCAATTAGACTGAACTAGTGCTATACCGAGAAAACTTTTTTTTCCTGAAGGTGAAATCATAAACACCTTCAGAAAACAGAAATTTAAAATAATCATATATGTAATATGTCTCATTGATTAATGTAACTTTAAGGATATAATTCTGTTAACTTTATAGGCTTTTATAGATAATTTTCAAGCAGTTAAACAAGCTTTGGCTGAGGCAACTGTTCAGGCAGCAGGGATGGCTGCTACTGGTGTAAAAGAACTGGCTCAAAGGAGTTCTAGAATGGCATTGGATGTTAACATCAAAGCTCCGGTTGTGGTCATTCCACAATCTCCAGTTTCAGAAAATGTGTTTGTTGCTGATTTTGGACTAATTACAATGATGAATACGTTCCATATGATAACTGATAGCCAGAGCAACCCTCCACCCATTATTGATTTGATAACAATTAAGCTGAGTGAAATGCGACTCTACAGGTAAGCTTTTCACAAATATGTTCATGTTGAATCGCCATCTTCTCCTTATATTAAAGACTTTGGGATCTGGAATGTTTTGTTTCCAGTGAGATTTTATTTTATTACAATTATATTATTATTATTTTTTATTGAGGTAACATTGGTTTATGACACTACAAGTTTGAAGACTATAGCTTCACATGCAGACAAATGTGTATTCCACACTCATCACCAAAGGTTTAGTTACCATCCACCATCATCTGGTTTCCCCCATATCTCATCTTACTCCTCCCAGCTCCCCCCTCCCTCCCTTCTAGTAACCCACATTTTGTAATCAGAACCTAAGGATTTGCTTGTTTTGTTTGTTCATTTGTTTTCTCTGTATTTCACAAGTGAGTGAAATATATGGTATTTGACTTTCTGTACTGACTTATTTCACTTAGCATAATCCCCACAATGTCTTTCCATATTGTTGCAGATGTGAATATTTTATCATTTTTAATAGTTTAGTAGTATTCCAGTATATATAAATATCATATCATCGTCATCTATCCATCCATGGGCACCTAGGTTGTTTCCAGACTTGACTATTCCAAGTAGTGCTGTAAGGAACTTGGGGTTCATATATCTTTTCAAATTAGTATTTCACATTCTTTGGGTAGATACCTATAGGTAGAATGGCTGAATCATATGTCATAATTTTTTGAGGAGCTGCCATACTGTTTTCCATAGTAAATACACCAATTTATATTCCCACCAACAGCATACAAGTGTTGTTTTACTCTACACCCTTGCCAACACTTGTTTCATATCTTTTTGATCTAGGCCTTTTTCATAGGTGTGAAGTAATTCTTGTGGTTTTGATTTGCATCTCCCTAATAATAAGTAGCCACCATTGTCTCCTCTTTCTCCATAGTAAACTCTGGTCTGTACTTAAGTGGTCATAACTTACTGTCTTACTTATCTCCGTGTTGCTCAGTTCTGCTGCTGGGTTTTTTTTCCATTCAGCTTGAATTTCCTGGCAAGGTAATAGGAAATTGAAATAATAGTCAAAAATCTTCCACAAACAAAAGCCCATGGGCAAATGATTTTCAAAGAAAATTTCATCAAAACTTACATAAAGAACTCTTACCCATTCTTGTTTAAATTCCAAAAACCCAACAGATGAAATGCTCTGTAATACATTTTGGGTCCAATATTACCCTAGTAGCAAAACCAGACAGACAGCAAAGAAAACTGCAGACCAATATCACCAATTAACATGGATGCAAAAACCTTTAACAAAATGCTAGCAAATTGAATTCAACAATATATGATAGTAATCATACATCATGATCAAGCGAGCATATCCCCAGACTGCAAGGATGATTTAACATGTTTATCAGTCAGTGTAATACAGTATATCAGCAAAAGAAAAGATAAAAATCACATAATATCAGTTATTTCAGAAAGGATTTAAAAAGATGCATCACCCGGGGCCTCCCCGGTTGGTGTAGCAGGTTGAGTGCAGCGCTGTGAAGCTGTCTGCAGCTTCTGCAGCACGGGTTCCATCCTGGCCAGCCAGGGAGAAACCCACATGGTGGGGCTGACCTCTGCTGTCTTGCCCGCTACTCCCCTCAGCAGTGTATTTCAGTCAGCCTGCCTGTTATGCTCCCCACTCTGTCTCTGGTGAATTCTCTCACCCTCCTGCACCTCTGACCTGTACCCCAGCTCTTGTATAAATAAAATAAATCTTTAAAAAAAAGACGTATCACCCACTTATGATACACATCAAAATCAACAGTCCATATAATACTTAATGGTTAAAAATAAAAAGCTTTCTCTTATCATTAGAAACAAGACAAGGATGACTCACTGTGAACACTTCAGGTTAGATTCATTTGCTGTTTTTAGCTGGAGCAGTTGGGCAACAGACGGAAATAACACTTACTTTCCAATAAACAGGTTGGAGAAGAAGTGAAACTATCATTATCTGTAGAACATGTGAGACTAATATAGGATTATATATTTAGAAAACCCTAAAGACCCTACCAAATAGCCGTTAGAAACAGTACATGAAAATAGCCAAGTGGCATGTTACAAAATCAACAAATAATAACGAGGAAAAATAAAATAACTCATCAGAATGAATCATATACCTAGGAATTGTGTAATCAAGGAGATATAGGTCTTACAAATTGAAACAAGAAGACTTGATTAAAGGATATGAATGGACTAAGATATAAACAGAGAGAAAGACATTTCGTGGTCAATAGAGAGAATCAATATTGTCAAAATAACAGTTCTAGTGAATGAGATGTAGATTTCATGCAATCCCAATTAAAATTCTAATGATTTTCTTCAAAATAATAGAATAAAAAAAATACTAAAATTTATGTGGCAACATAAAAGACTTTCAGTAGCTAAATCAATCCTGAGAAAAAAGAGAATTGGTGGCATCTTGTTACCTGATTTTAATACTATAAAGCCCTTTTTTTTTTAAGATTTTATTTATTCATTTATACAAGCACTGGGTACAGTCAAAGCGCAGGAGGGTGAGAGAATTCACCAGAGCCAGAGCGGGGAACAGAACAGGCAGACTGACAAAATACACTGCTGAGGGGAGCAGCAGACGGCATAAGAGGTCTGCGCACCATGTGGGACTCTTGCCAGCGGCTGAGGATCGAACCGGCACTGCAGAGGCTACGGGCAGCTTCGCAGCCCAGCGCTCAACCACTGCACCACCATAAAGCACTTTTAATTAAATATGGTGTTGGAATAAAATAGATTTATTGATCAATAGAACAGAAACAGAAGGCCACAAATAAATCTATACTCATGTTAATAGTTAATTTATGATAAAGTTGCTGCAACCATTCAGTTGATAAAGGAGAATGTCTTTAAAAAAAATCAGTAGTGGGCAGCCACATATACAAGAATGAAGTCTGATCACTCTAACTCCATGCACAAAAAAATACTCAAAACATACTAACAAAGTAGTTATAAGACCTACAACAATAAAATATATAGAAGAAAACATTGGTGATAGATTTCATGACACCAATAATAAAGAGTCTTTGGAGGCTGGACTTCTATGGCAAGAGAAAAGCAAACAAAAGGGAATTTTTTAATTTTAAAAACTTACAAAATGAAAGAAAATACAATTAAAGCTTACTCAATTTAGCAACAAAAATAATCCAATTAATAAATGGACAGTAGATCTGAACAGATTGTTCACCAAACGGGATTTCCAAAAGGCCAGTAGCTATATGGAAAGCATGCATCATCATTTTGAATAAGGGAAATTCAGGTCAAAACCACAATGAGATGTCATCTCAGACCTATTATGAACAATACATATTAAAAAGAGCCCCAACAATAAGTTCTGTAGAGGATGTGGGAAAAAAACTCTTACACGTTGTTGGTGGGAATGTAAACTGGTACAACCATTTTAAAAAGTGATCTCTGAATTTACCTTATAAAACAAAAAATGAAAATACTATACAACCCAGCAAATCTCACTTTGGACATCTGTATGATGAACATGAAATTGTGCAAACAAAAAAAATCATGCTGTGCAATGTTATTTCTGCATTACTTACAATAACTAGGACATGGGTGCAACATAAGTGCCCATTGACAGAGAATTGGGAAAAGAAGATGTATTATATTTAAAGATGGTGTGGTATACAGTCATAAGGAAAGACCAAATGTCACCATATGTAGTAAAATGTGTTTGAGTGATGTGTAATAGAACATTTCAAAAGCCAAAGGTAAGTAGTGAACATTAGAGACTTTGACTCTTAAGTTTTTGATTATTAATTACCAGAATAAAATTACAAGGGAAATAGCATATTGGGGTAATACATTAGTAGTAACTTAATAAAGGATAAAAATCCATATTTAAAGTAGTAAGAAAAGATAATTTGAAAAATTGGTACGGAACATGAATAAATGATTTTTTTAAAGATTTATTTTATGCATACAAGAACTGGGGAACAGCCAGAGGTATGGGAGGTGAGAGGATTCACCAGAGACAGAGTAGGGAACAGAAAAGGCAGATTGACTGAAATACACTGCTGAGGGGAGCAGTGGGCGAGTCAGGAGAAGTCTACTGTGCCATGTGGGCCACCTCGCTGGCTGGGGATCCAACTCATGCCACGGTGGCTGCTGATAGCTTCATAGTGCTGTGTCTTAACCCCTTGTGCCACCAGGGAGGTCCCTAAATGACTTAATTTTGAAACAATTTTTGAGGCAATGTTGGTTTACAACACTGTATTTGTTTTAGGGGTTATAGGCTCAAACATCTACAAATGTATGTTTTCACATCAGACCCATCACAAAAGCCATAATAATTCTCCACCATATTCCATAGATGATTCTTTATAGGAATAGCTATAGCCAATAAACAATCGAAATGTCCACCCTCTTGTAATCAAAGGAGTAAAAATGTATACAGTGAAATACTGTTGCCCAGTGATTAAGATTTCTCCATTCCTGTACATAAAGATGGCTGTTCTCATATATTGTTACTTATGTTTCTCCAATTTAGTGAGTGAGGTTTAGCAGATATTTGCACATGTGACCTGTTGTAATCATTTGAGCTTTGTATTGAAAGTACATCAAATATTAGGGTAAATGTAGTCCCTGCCCTCATTAATATTTTATTCTTGAAATTACAGATAAGACACACTATTAAGATACAGTATTTAAATAGATTAAGAGAAACTCTTGGAGGTACTTGGAGTATGTAAAAATGGAATCTAACCCAGATACTGGATAATACTGATACGGAAAGTTTTTCAAAGGAAGTAATTTTTGAAACAAATTAATGTTTGTTGTACAAAATTGACCTAAGTTTTATTTATTACCGTGAAGAATTTTAGAAATACGTAATTTTTTAGATTTATTTTTTATTTATACAATAGCTGGGGTACAGGCCAGAGGCGCAGGAGGGTGATAGGATTCACCAGAGACAGAGTGGGGAGCAGAACAGGCAGATGGACCGAAAACACCGCCGAGGGGAGCAGCAGGCGAGACGGGAGAGGTCTGCCATGCCATGTGGGAATCTCCCTGGCCGACCTGGAATCGAACACACACTGCAGAGTCTGCAGAAGCTTCACAGTGCAACAGGTTGAGCAACGGGGAGGCCCCGAAATACATAATATTTAGTAATAGGTTATTAAATGACCTACAGTACAGTATAGCATATATTATAATTTGCACTCGCTGCAATTGTGTACGTAGGGCTTTTAAATTTCTTATTAAGTAGAGATTGCAAGCAAGCATGCATAATGTGTATTGTGTCACTCTATAATCACTTCATAAAGTGGTGATACTAGGCATTCTGAAAGATCTTTGCTGTCTCCCATATTTTTGTCCAGTTGAGTAAGTGATATCTAAAATTCTACAATTGTGGCTTCATACTCTAGTTGAAGGATTTGGGACTTCAATTAAAATATAATTGTATTGGGCCTCCCCTGGTGGCGCAGTGGTTGAGCGCTGGGCTGCAAGGCTGCCCGCAGCCCCTACAGCGCCGGTTCGTTTCCAGTCCGCTAGCGAGGGTCCCACAAAAAAAAAAAAAAATTGTATTATTGAGGAATACTACTTTGAGATGCCTTTGATGGTACAGTGGTCATATTGTAATTTAAAAGGGCTTTAGTAACCTAATACTCATTTCTGAGCATCAGTTTTACCTTTTATTAGTATTTGGAAAGGCAAATACGGTTCAATTTAATGTGAAATTGTCTATATTCAATTATTTTTGACCCTCAGAAATAGAAATTTCACATGATGCCTTTTGTTTCTTACCAAATAAGAAGATATGTGGTATTTACATATCTAAATCAATGCATTAAACATTTATATTTAGGGGCTTATTTGGGGGGCTTATTATCTGACTTGTATACTTTGGCACTTTTTAACAAATTCCAAAATCCTATTTTAAAAATTAATTTCTCTGCATGTTTCTAATGGGAAGGGACAGCTCTTATTTTCCTATGTTATGCCTGATAGATTTTATTTTTCTTCTCACACACATTATTGATTTCTACTATTTAAACATATAATGATACATTTAATTTTTTTCCTACTATATGAGTAAACAGTTCAAAGCAATTTTATTTCTACTTCTAGGACTCAGTTTACCAATGGTAAATACCAGGATGTCTTGGATCTGATGCTACCACTAAACCTTGAGGTCATTGTTGAACGAAATTTATCCTGGGATTGGTATCAGGAAGTTCCATGTTTTAATGTAAATGCTCAACTAAAGCCCATGGAGGTAACTTTTTGTATTCTCAGTGATTTCTGTTTTGTTGGCTGAAAATACTGCTTTGGTGTCATGAAAAATTTTGAGGGAAAAAGTTACATATTAATCACCTTGGTCAGAATTGAAGTTGTAACTACATTAACCTAGAATTCAGTGACTGTTTTTCATCCATTTATTTCACAAATATTTGTGTCCGTACTGTGGATTAGGGTAGATTTCAGAGATACAGTGACAAAGAAGACATGATATTATCTCTGACTGCATGGAAATTACCAGTCTGATGTACAGATTGATGGTGATAGTGGTCCAGAAAATGTGATAGCCTAAAAAAGTACACTGGCACATAATTAAAATGCTTATAAATTATTATAAATTCCATGAAGGAAATAAATATTAGACATAGTACACTTGAGTAGCCAGTGGAATATGTTGATATAGAACTTAGTGGGAGAGGTCTCAGGAAGGATAGTTTGAGAGTCTTTAGCTTCTAAAAGCTATTTTAAAAGCCAGTGGAATATATGAAATAACAGAGAAAGTATAGAAGGATGGAGAGATTGAAGAGGAAAATGCCAAATGGGTTAATATTTTTAGGCAGAACTTTATATCCTTATTGGTTGCCATTGCTTCAGAGCTCTCTAATAGAACTATCCACAAGTTCATACTTTTTCATTTTGATTATATGGAAGTAAAATCTTTTTAGGTGCTTTACTGAAATGACAATATATGGCAGGTTTTTTTAAAGAAGCTTAATCCTCTACGAGGCCCCAATTTTCCTTTTATTTCTTCCTATAAAAAATTATATATTTTTTTAAAATTTATGCATTCAAGAACTGGGGTACATGCCAGAGATGTGGGGTGTGAGAGGACTCACCAGAGACAGAGCGGGGAACAGAACAGGCAGACTGACTGAAATACACAGCTGAGGGGATCAGCGGGCGAGTCAGGAGAGGTCTGCTGCGCCATGTGGGTAGCTCCCTGGTTGGGGATCAAACTCATTCTGCAGAGGCTGCGGATAGCTTCATAGGTTGCATCTTAACCCCTTGCGCCACCAGGGAGGTCCTAAAAATTTAAAGAGAAAAACAATTTAAAATTTTCAGACTTTTAAATAAAAAATATATTTAGAATTTAAAACATGATGATCTCAGCAGAAAATCTTTTAGTTCTTAATGTATAGAAGAATAAGGACTCTTTAAGAAAGTGCCTTTTTAAGATAAATATTTGAAATCTCTATAGTATCAGTAAAACAATAGGTAGACTCTTAGGGCGGGGGGAGGGGAATAGCATGTTCCACCAGTATGCTGGCAAATCCTCTACCCAGTTATCAGGCAGACTTGTGTGGGGCAGCAGGTACACCATTTTCCTTCACTCTTCTCCAGGGAGAATCCATGCAGAATGTTCAGGTGATGTTGTAAACTATCTGCAAATGCCCGTCTGTCTTCAGGGTCATATAAAACTAGGTCTCCCACTACCCTAAGATACCTGAATGGGGAGCTGCTATTCCAGCCCTCCTTTGGGCTCCACATCTTTGACCCCCCCATATACATTCTCTGCATCAAGTAGTAGCTGGAAGTAGTCTCATGCATCCAAAACAAATGTTGCAGCTTGTAAGTTCTGACTCATTAGATGTTTGGGGGTAGTGCACACGGTCAGACCTGACATCTAGAAGCCATAAATCAGCAGTTCCTGGATCCTGATAGTTCTTCTGACTTCCTCCATTGAGCTTCTTGGCAAGGGTGAAGCATGATCATTAATAACAATATTTGACAGACAAAGTGTAGGGGTTAGTCTCAGCACTGTCACTGCCACAGCCTGAGCTGAATCGTAAGCCAGGGAGCTAACCCACATTCGGCACAGTAGACCGTCTCCTGATTCGCCCACTGCTCCCCTCAGCTGTGTATTCCAGTCAATCTGCCTGTTCTATTCCCCACTCTGCCTCTGGTGAGTCCTCTCACTCACACTCCCCCTCACCTTTGACCTATACTCCAGTTCTTCTGTGCAAAAATAAATCTTAAAAAAATATTTGATGGGCATCAGTATAATATACTAATTTAGAGATGTGATTTAGAAGTTGTAATATTTAATTTCAACTTAGTAATTTTTATTAACACTGTTCTTGCTGTGCCCGCTGCATAATCACAAATCAAGTCTCATGAATAAATGAAAATTAAAAAAAAATGTAGAACATAAGTAGCATGAATAAGGTACTTGTAGATTTAATCCTAAAATACTGTATCAGAATATCACTTTAAAAAGGTGGTCAGACGAAGCCTGGTGAAATAAGACAGTTAAATTTGGGGAGATTGAAATTGTTGCTTTGAAGTTATTAAATACTAGTTTAAGCTTATAAGTCTTTGTCTTCCTTTCTGTGTCCTTCCTTTTTTTTTTTCCTGCCTTCTTTCATTCTTCCCCCACTTTACATAATTATTATTGTATTAAGGGTCTCCAGAGAAACAGAACCAATAGTATGTATGTATGTTTGTGTGTATATACCCTTGGTTTGTATTCATTAGACTGATGCTTGCCACTGAGGATAAGGTCCAGGATGGGTCAAATAATGCCAAGGTGGGCTACAACAGCTGCTAGCTACTTGGGTTGTTCAGGTAGGGGAAGACCCAGTTTCATCCTACTAGGTCTGTCCCAGAAGGCAGTTGGACATTTGTAGATGTCTGCAACTCTATCTAATCATCTATCTGTGTAGAGAGATTTATTTTAAGGCATTGACTCCCGTGATTATGGAAGGTTACAAAAAGCTGGAAATCTGTGGGGTGGGTTGTCAGGGAAGATTTGGTGTTGCAGCTCAGTATGAAGGCAGTCTGTTGGCAGATTTCTTACTCAGGGAAAATTGGTCTTTTTCTATTAAACTTTCAAGTGATTGGATGAGGCTCGCTCACATCATGGAAGGTAATCAGCCTTACACAAAGTCTGCTGATTTCAATGTTGATCTCCTCTAAAATAATACCTTCACAGACATGTCTAGAACAATACTGGACCAAATAACAGATATTATGGACCCACTCAAGTTGATGTAAATTAACCATTATAACTTTCAAGCCTGGTTTTATGCTTCATGATTTTAGGCTAAATTTGCAGCACATGGGGCTTTGATTTAATACGTTGAATTCCTCAAGTGACTTCAGCACAACACTTGACCATTTATGCTTCATCTTCTTATAAAACCAGGATTTTTTTTTATCCCTAGTACTTTTGTGAGGTTCAAATAAAGTAATTTATGTGAAACATTATTGTCACTATTTTTCATTGTGCAAATGTAATGTATTTTATTCTATATTTATAGATTGAGGTGCTTACTGAACAAAAAAAACCCAAAGTAGATAAATACATGAAGAAAAATTTCATTTTATAGATTTAAAATAAATTTAAAGATTTAAACTAACCAGTTACCTACATTCATAACCATAAAAGTTATTTATAACTCCTTTGGTATTGGCATCTAATGTGGTCTGTATTTCTTTCACAGGATATTAAAGGTAACATGGTCATTTAAGATAACTGTATATTTAGTTAGAAATATTTCCTGCGTAAAAAAATTGGTTTCGTAGAGGACTGAAATGAGTATTTTTTCTTGTATGAAAATGTTTAACTACATGAAGAAGCAATGTTAAAATAAGAAAAGCTTGTTTCTCTTAACAGTTCATTCTTAGTCAAGAAGATATAACAACTATTTTTAAAACATTAAATGGCAATATATGGTATGAAGAAGGTCATAGTGCCTTACCTGCAGGACTAAAGGATGAAAGTAGTGTTACCAGTGGAGCTACTAATGCTTCATACCATACAGGAGGTATGTTCTTAACTTGAAATCAGTTTCTTCTTCTTTCCTCCGTCTTGCCTGTGCATTCCTCCCCACATACACACATTTTTCCTCTTCCTTCTTCCTCCATCTAGTTTTGGGTAAAATAAGATCTATTTGAAAAATCATTGGAATGATGATTTATTTTTCTTTGAATCAAAAATCCTAATCCTGTTGTTAGGAAAATCCCTTAGTGATCTTTTTATCCTTACTTCCCAGTGGGCCCTTATTTTTAATTTTTCTTGCCCATCCCCCCCTTCTCCTTAAAGTGTAGAGCAGTATATACTTCTGATAAAATCTTTTATGTTGATAATCCAGAGTATTAAAATATTAGAGATGTCAAGAGACTATTATCATTAGTAAATAACAGATTTCACAAATATTTAGAAGATAGATGAATGGAACAGAAGGAATTTTAGCACAACCATTCTTAGTAATCAATAAAATGTAGACCACAAATTTGGATCAGAAAGACTATAGAATATTTGAGCACTTTTAACAAACTTTAACTGACATTAATACAATATTATACTCTAGTGTAAGAACTACTAGAATTCCTTTAGTGTAGAAAACACCTATTAATGATCAATGACCAAAAAAAAAAAAAAACCAAACAAAAAACAATATTATACTCAACAATTGGAAAATACACATTTTTTAAGTACCCCTGGAATGTTCACAGATATACCACTTTGGGAGCCATCAGCTTTTCTGTCCAAATGGAATTAAATAGCAATCAATGATAATAAAATACCAAAAAAATATTGAAATATTTGGACATTGAATAATTTCTAAATAACTCAAATGAGTCAAAATAAGAGATATGGGAATTTACTAACTTGTTTAAACTAAAAGATAATAAACATAGAATATTGTCAAAATTTGTGAGATGCAAATAAATTTGTAGTAGTAAAGGAGTATATTAGGAAGGAATAAGAATTTAGTATCAAAGATCAACCTTCTACCTCAAGAAAATAGAAGAAAATGAACAAGTTAAACCCAAGGTAATAAAAGGAAGATAGTAATACAGATCAGTATACATGTAAGAAGCGAAACAGATAAAATTAACAAAATTAAACATTGTTTTCATTGAAGAGACTAATTGATAAACCCATTGAATTTAATAGCTTGCTATAGATCGCTACCAGTATAACAAGGGAATGTTATTAATTTATGACAATTTCTATAACTTTTATGAATATAGAAACTCTAAGTAGCCTTGTGTCTAATAAAGGGATTGAAATAATGCTAGTGTTAGACACACTTTTTTGGGGAATGTAGAACATTTCACTAGTTTATTTTATAAGGCAGGCATTACATTGATCAAAAAACCCATACACAACAAAAAAAATCACTATGAGGGTAATATCACACACTAGATCCCATATGAAGACCAATATAAAAACTCTTAGCAACATATTAGCATACTGAATCCAGCAATAAAGAGCTGCAGAGGGTACAAGGGAACTTACTAGAGTGGTGTAAATGTTAAATATCTTAATTGGAGTGTTGGTGATTTTGATGTATATATTTATTAAATCTCAAATTGTCAGATAATATCTGTATATTTTACCCATGTAAATTTTACTTCAGTCTGAAAAAAGTCACCTGGTGTGGTGGTACTTGTTGCTGAAGTTAGAATGAGAATTAGGAATTGCTATGTTTTTATATTAACTCCATTCTATATATACTATGGCACAAAAGAAAATTTTGGGACATCTCTGTTAAATCGAACTCTGCCTTTCCTGATATTTTTTTTCTTGTATCCAATAATATTTTTCCAAGGAACAACTGTTACCACAGCTGCTGTGGTAGAAGTACATTCACAGTCCTCTCAAGTTAAGACAACACTAAATATAAGCTTCAGAACTGATTATCTCACCATGGTACTGTACAGTCCAAATCCTGACCAGGTAAGCTAAGGAAGAAGAAAATGTTTTTCACTTGATGAAAATCATAACAGATGACTGTTTATTATGATAACAATTGTTAATATTTCTTGTGTATTTTACAGTATTTGTTCCTCTCAGAATAGTAATTGATATTTTCACCCTAATAATAAAATAAGTTTAACTATTTCCCCTTTTGAATTAGTTCCTTTCCTATAGCCAGTGATGTGAAAAATAAACTTTTTAAGTTATATATTTTTAACCTTTCATTAGTGAGTCCTTTGGAGATATTGATAGATAATGTGATAGTTCATCTCTTAAAATATGCATTAGACATATGTTTTTGTTTAAAATTTGTATTTCTTCTTCCACAGACTTCCTTTATAGATGTTCGTGATCCTTCTCTGAAACTTGCTGAGTTTAAATTGGAAAATATTATAAGTAATTTAAAAATGTGTACAGATGATTCAATATTGTCTTCCTTCTTACTAAAAAACTGTATTTTAGATGATAAAAGACCTCATGTCAAAAAGGCAACGCCTAGGTAATATGTGTATTATTAATATTTTTATACAATTTATTCCCCAAATTGCATGTTCATTTCTGAGTACATCCTGGGTACATTTGGAACTTCAGCTCAATTGAATCAATGTTCTCAGTCAGCTTTGAAAATCTCCTGGTCCAGTTATGTGCTGTTCTTGCTGGATGATTGATGGATTAGTTAGTTAAATAGAAATACTGAGCCTGGCTAAGTTTTTAAATTCTATATTACCTTATTTTTTATTAATGAGTATTGTGATTGGAAAATATGAAAAATTGAGAAGAAAAAATATGCTGAGTTTCAATATTCTGATATTTTCTTAAAGATATACATTGTAGTTTATAAAAATTGTGCTCCAGAAGTTTGTAAGTCTATTATTTGGAGGATTTTGTGATTTTCCTGGAAGAAATGATTCCAGAATACTGGTTTGCTCTCAGTGAAAGGGATTAGAGATCTTTGAGTTTATTGGCGTGTTTAATGACTTGTATGCTACTCATAGGAATTGTTATTGTGTTTTTTCAGAATGATAGGACTTACAGTTGGGTTTGACAAAAAGGACATGATGGATGTAAGATACAGGAAAGTCAAAGATGTTTGTGTGACTGATTTAGTCCTCCAAGAAACGTATATTTGTGCAAGTGTGGAATTTCTGCTGACGGTTGCAAATGTCTTCCTTGAGGCCTATACCACAGGCACTGCCGTAGAAACCAGTGTTCAAGCATGGACTACTAAGGAAGAAGGTTAGTTACTAAGATATTTAGCATCTGTGTTTTGGAAGTACTGCACCAGCACTTAATCTTGATTAGAAACGAGATGCAAAATTAAGTTATTTAGTAAATTCAAATCTTGTTTTTTCAGAGGTAAGAGGAAAATTCAAATGCATTTTCTTCTAGGTTGTGCAGTTTTGCATTTTTTTCATGGTGTGACTATATATTGGGTTAAAAAATCATAAGAACTTCATTGGGATAAGTTATTGTGTATCATTGTAGGCAGTAATTTGAAAGAATTTGTTGATGGAAGAAAACGGAAAATAATGAACTGACTACTCTTTTTCATAGTAGAGATACTGTTTTAACTCAGTACTCATTTTTTTTTGTTGTTGAAATTTACAGTTTTCAGCTATCTTTTACATAGTTCATTGTAATACAATGAAAAGTAAAAAGGGTATCAGTTTTAAATAATGGAGATTTTACCCACATTTTGAAATATCCTTGACTATATAGCTTAAGTCTTTACTAAGAGACTGCTTTGAGAATAAGATTCTTTTATTTTACCTTTTAATTATAATGCAAATAATATTTTCCCATAAGTAACAAATTATTCGTAAATATAGGCATAACATAAATATTTTAAAACATTAAATGTATTCTATTTCTATTTTAGTGCCTACACAGGAGTTAGAGAAGTGGGAAATTAATATTATTATTAAAAATCCTGAAATTGTGTTTGTGGCTGATATGACAAGAAATGATGCTCCTGCTTTAGTCATTACCACACAATGTGAAATTTGTTGGAAAGGTGACAGTGAAAACAATACAATGACAGCTGCCATTAAAGATCTCCAAATGAGAGCATGCCCATTTCTTCCAGTCAAAAGAAAAGGCAAAATCACTACTGTGAGTTTACAGTTTAATTGTTTAATTTTAAGCTATTTGGGACTAAGTTTATACTATTTTAGAAAATTACCTACATACTTTCTAACCTTCCTCTGTAAAATACTCTTCTTTCTGCTTGGAGAGCCTAATCTTGATTTTTGTTAAACCAGCCTTAAAAATCTTTCATTCTTCTGGTTGTTACTCATTGTAACTCTACAGTGTGATTCTTAGTGATCTCTTCTAAGAAGTGGCTTACATCTTGGTATTTCTCACTCTGGCTTTCTGCACATGTCAAGTTCACACTGCTCTTTTGCCTTTAAGACCAGCTGTTTGTTATGTTGTTTCAATTTTACTGTCTCAGTTATTTCTCTCCTTTGTGGGCACATTTTTCAGATAACGTGTTTTTGCTTTTCATGCTTTTCATTTATTTGAATCTTCAGACATTTGCTTTGACATACTGTGCATTTGTATCTTACTGTCCAGTAATCTCTTGGCCTTCCTCCTCTTAGTAACTCTTCTTAAAGTTCATTCCATCAGACATTTTTTTCTAATTAGCTATCTGACTCCTAGTACTCATAAAACAGTTATAAAAATTTTTAGTCTTATAGATAAGTAATAGAAGCATAAATGTATTAAACATAAAGTGAAAAGATGATCTATTGTATAATTTTGTTATAAGTAAGTATATATGATTGCTTAGGATATATAATATTACAGACTGTTTACCTAGTTTGCAAGTCTGATGGCCGACCACTTAGAACAAGAAATAGAAAATGGAGGGCATACCCATTAACTTTTAGGTTATGCATTAGAAAACTTATATTTATTCTTTACATCCTTTTGACTTGAACATTGGAGAATTGGGCTTTTCTCTGAGCTACTGTGTGTTCATTTAAAACTATCGTTACTCTGAAGAGGAGAAACAGATAGCAGGTGGCAACTGGATGCCTTCCTGCCCAGCCCTGAACTGCTTTGTTTTCATTGGGTACTTCCTACTGAATTGGATACTACAGGATTGCTTTAGTTGTTGAATATTAACCAGCTTTTGCATGCCAGATGCATGTAGGTAGTTCCATAGAGTTTATTTTTGACTAGAAAACTTTCATTTCTAATCTCTGCATTCTGCCTATTTTCACTTCACTTTGATGATTTTGTAAAGGGTGCTTTAACAATAGGTTTGTTGGAGGAGGATAAGTAACATCTCTAATCATTTTATTTTACTTATTTTTTTTGGCCACAGACTGGCTGCAGTATCTGATGTTAAGAACTTTCAGAATAAAGAGGAGCCATAGTCTTTATTTCTTGTTAAAACTCCTCTTTAGAACATGAATTTCCTCAGTGTTTTTCTTTCAATTATAGTACTCTGAAAATAGCAGAAAGAAGGAACTAATACACAGCAACATTCTAGATATTCCAAACTTATCTGGTTAAAATTTTAGATTTTCCCTTGAAGTATGTGTGTGATCTGCTTTCAAGATATCACCAGTAGCTGCTTTATTAAATATTTTGATATAGCATTGTTAGTCATCAGCTCTGTATTTTGAAAGATCTTTTGTCCATCCAATTGCTAATTTAATTACAAATTTCTATTAGTTAGGCTATTAATAGTTTCCTATACCAGAGATACTCCCCAAAAGTAACTAAAGCATGGTAGACCTGCGTTATTCTTTCTGTACATGTATATTACAGAATGATAGCTGTGGAAATCAGGCTCTTTCAATCATGTTGTTTTGCTATCCATAGGATGTAACTCAACCTGATATTCAAAGGTAGTATACATATATGTCCTTTGCAATTTGTTAGGGGTGAGCGGTGCTTAGAAAGAGAGAACGTGAAAGGATAAAGAGATGGTAATTTCCAGAAGTTGCAGATAATACTTCTTGACATTCTTTTGTTCAGAATTTTGTAGTACACCTGATTGTGTTTTTTCTCAATAGGAAATTTGGAATTTCTAGTGTCATCCCTTACGACCTTTTGATCTTTTCTTCCTTCCCATTCCCTCTTGACCTCAGAAACCTCATTACTGATGTCACTGTCCACCAGTTTTGTAAATATTTCGCTTTGTTTCTTTATGTTACTCATGCGACTTCCTCCAATATTTGTCTTTATCTTTCTGACTTACTCTTTGCCCCCCCTCCTTGAGTTCCTTCCATTGTGTTTTAAATGTTAATGTTTTGTCTCTTCTTATGACTGAATATTATTCCATTGTGTGGATATGTCGTATCTTCTTATCCAATCTTCTATTAGTGGATACTTAGGTTGCTTCCAAATCCTAGCTATTGTAAATAATTCTGCAATAATCATTATGGAGTATACAGTGTTTTAAAATAATTTTTTGCTGTTTGGATAGATATCCAGAAATGGGATTGCTGGATGATACTGTATTTCCATTTCTAGTTTTTAAAGATAAGTCCAGATTACCTTCCAAAATGGCTGCACCAGTTTACATTCCCATCAACAATGTATTGCTTTTCCTTTTCCCTCTGCATCCTTCTCAGCATTTGTGGAGATCTTTTTGGTATATATCATTCTCACAGTGTGAGATGATATCCCATTCTGAGTTTACCTTGTATTTCCCTTATTAAAAATGATGATGAGCGTTTTCCCCCTCTATCTGTTGATTTTCTGTGTAGTCCCTTTTGAAAATTGTTCAGATCTACTGCTCATTTTTTAATTGGGTTGATTTTTTCTTTTATTATGGTGGATGAGTTCTCTGTATGTCTTGATGGCTATGTGATGCTTGAATATTTTCTCCCATTCAGTAGGGGAGTACCCATTAAAAGTGGAAAACAAAAATTTGTTATATTAAAACATTAAGTTTGTGGTGATTTAAAATACAATAGTAGGAAACAAATATGGATTTTTATACCAAAAATAAGATTCTTTTGTAGCATTTATTTAAAATGTGAGCTTTGGAAATGAGCATTATGCAAAGCTGTATAAAAGCTAAAGAAATTTTGAGGAGAATGCTAGAGAAAGCCTAAATTGTGTTGACTGGATTCTTGGTAGAACTGTGGCCATCGAGGTTGCTACCAAGGAGGACTCAAAAGGATGGTAAAGGATGTGTTATTTGGAAATTAGGGTGAAGACTTAGTGTGTAGTGACACAAAATTATATCTTGCAATTATATGGAAAAACAGAACTTGTAACTAAAAAATGTGAATATACAGCTAAGATGTCCAAACTTACTGATTTGAAGATTCTGTGCTGTTACATATTACTTACAGTAAAATGATAGCATAGAAAAATATGGGAAGAATGGATAAACAAAAAGAAGTAGAATTTAATGATTTTTGTAATTTGCAGCTTTCCAGTGGTAAAAGGTGATAACAGTTGAAAAAGCTGGCAAAAAAATGTAACACAGAGAAAAGACTGTGTAATTGTATAACCTTTTGCTAAAACCTCATTTTAAAATATCACAGTGTTCAGTCACAGAAAGGGTGGGCCTGTCAGGAAGGAGAAGAAATATCCTCCCACCCTATGGGTTCATCTTGGCTGATCAAATAATCAAATCAACATCAGGCCGATTGGTATGACCAAAATACCAAATTTAATTGTATACCTTTAGTGAATCTACATAGAAAAGAGGATTCTAAAGCCAATGAAAAAAATGGGTAGTATATAACCTGATCTAAGGAATAGTATAGGGACCTCGGCTTAAAGGGGACGGTGGGGGTGGGGGGAGGTTTGGAGGGTGGTGGGGCGGTCTCACATGACAAGTACAGGTTAGCTCATAAGTGAAATCCAGATGCTCTCTTATTATAGATGTTTGCTCTCCCGATTAGATAGGTTCTTCAGAAAGACAAATATTTCTGATAATAACCCCAGTTCTGGGTCATACCCCCAATTTTCATTCTTCTGGGTAGTTAGGGAACAATAGAAGTTTCTCTTGATCCTGTAGGGCCTTCTTGGACTTCAACTGAAATATTTCAAAGTAGCATCTCTTTGGGGCAGCCTATCTTGAGGAACCTTATCTTGTAGACCCTTTTAAAAGATAAGTGTGTTTCATAGATCTCAGCCAAACCAGATGGAGTCTAGGAATTGTAAGGGTGTTTCCCCTTAGCCATCTCTGCAGTGGGTCTTAATTATCTCAAAAAGATTTGCGAATTTGTCTTTAGTCTAATGGAGTGAAAACGCATGAAACCCATGGAAGGTCCTCAGCATTCTTGAGAAAATTATTTTAGCAGAAATTGTACCAGCCTGAATTGAGAGGGGCGGTATAAAATAGATTGACAAGAAGCAGGGTGATAAAATTACTCCACTGCACTATTGTGCCTACCTTCTATAAAAAAAAGGAAGGTTAGTCGGCAGATGGAACAGAATTATTCCCAGGATTTGAAACCTAACCAAGAAATTAATTTACCTTAGTGGATTTCAGAACTGCTTTGCAGTAGGGATTCCCTTTTACCTTCCATTTTCCCCTTCGAACTGGTATTTCTGTGATTATTACCCCATCTCTGTCTAAGCATTCCATGTTGGGAGTGGTGAAAACAAGTGATTCATCTTAGTTGCATAGTTCCACAAGCTATACTTAATAGATTATACTCAGGAATTTCATCAGCACCTGGGCCTGATTTAGATTTTAGACATCGAACTGATAGATGAAATTTCGGACTTTTGAATGAGTGGGAAATATAATTGAGCTGTATGGTAAGACACATACTTAGACGTTGAGATTTTGTACTTTGGGCTATAATGCGATGAGATGGTTGAGAACCTTAGGAGGTTTGAATATATTTTGCATTTGGAAGGGACATGATCACTAGGAATTAGCGGCAGAATTCTGCTTCCCATGGTCAGGGAATTCACATAATTTATAATAATAGGAAGTATTTAGTAAGTTTGATGTATTTATGATATTCCCTCTCTTTGGTAGCTTTCCTATAGATCATTTCAATTTTATAATGGAAAAAAAATACCAAAGCGACATTTTATTAAGTGAAATAGGTACATAATTCATGTTTTATGAGTTTTTCATATATTGGAGTATATTTAAGAAATCTGTTACTTTGTTGTATAAATATTATTGCTAATGTTAATATTTGCTACTTACTGAATTAATGAGTTAAGGAAGAGAATATTAAGACGTGCCATTGAGTCACTTGTTTTTTAAAGCTATTTTGATTAACTTGTTTATTTCCATATTAGTTACTGCTAGGAAAGTCTTTAAATAGCTATATTTAACAATATTAATTTAGTGCTATTGATTTTTCTATCACAGGTTTTACAGCCCTGTGACTTGTTTTATCAAGCTACTCAGATTGGTACAGAGCCACAAGTGATTGACATATCAGTAAAATCTCTGACACTAAAGGTAAAATGTAGTTAGTTATTCAGCTCTTCAGTGTACTTAAATAATAACAATAAAAAACACAACAAAACAAAAATAAACAGACAACTATAAATCAGATATTCAGGGGAGGGGGGAGGAGAGGGATCAAAATGAGGGTGGGAAGAGCACAAGGGACTATGGTGATGTTGCACAGGTGAATCGGTGCTGGAAATTCTGTGGGGACTACACCTGAAAAGAAAGTACACTGTAAAAAAAAAAATCAACAATGATGTAAAATATATATATAAATATATATGTTATTAAAAAATCATTAAAACCTAGAAATAAGTTACGTTACAGCAAGTCTTTTCATCATTAAGCTAAAAAGGAAGCGATAGTTTTGAAAACATTTTTGTCACATTACTTACAAAGTGTATAATGGTATCATAATTAAGATTGTTAATCTAAAAAGTTTATATGCATTAAATTGTATTTACTATTTCATGGAAGTAATGTTTTATATTGTGATTATTCAGCAAATGCATTTAATATTTTTGAAAGTCATATGTGCAAATTTTTTATTGCTTTTAATTGTTCCCCTTAGGTTTCACCAGTTATTATAAATACCGTGATTACCATAACTTCAGCACTTTATACATCTCAGGAAACCATCCCAAAAGGAACTGCTTCTTCTACAGCTCAGTTATGGGAAAAGAAGGATAACAAGAATTTAAAAATGTGGTTTCTTGAAGAGCCAAATGAAGTTGAAAACATAGCCCAAACAATTGAATTGGTGCCCAAAGGAGAGATAATAAGAATGAACATTGATTCTATTTTTATAGTTCTTGAAGCTGGAGTTGGTCACAGAACAGTGCCTATGCTTTTGGCAAAGTCATGTTTTTCAGGGGAGGGCAAAAACTGGAGTACCCTAATAAATCTCCACTGTCAGCTTGAGCTAGAAGTAAGCATATGTAGTATTTTCCCAGTTTCTATACTTATGATATTACACATGGAATATTTTGGGAAATTTTTTAGATTAAGTGTTCTGTAGATATAATGAATCAAAAAATTTACAGAAGAAAATTTACAAACATATGCCCTTGTTACAGTTGACTTATGCGTATATTTTTACTTTTAGAGTATGTATACGTATTAAGCTTATATTTCAATTAATTTTATCAACTTCAGAATACATTTATTGATAGCTATTGATTAACTTTAAAATTATCTTTGAAGAATTAAAATGGAATCTTTTCTTTAATCTGCATTATATAAAAGTATAAGACAAAGTTTTTAATTCTTTGTTACTCTTCTAGGGGTGGTTCTCATGTAGAAGAAATGACTCAGCCAACAGACATGGGAAAGTTTGGGAGTCCATTTTAGAAATATTAACATGCCTTATTTAAAAAATAAAAAAATTCTCTCTGTAGGTGCATTATTACAACGAAATGTTTGGTGTATGGGAGCCTTTGCTTGAACCCTTAGAAATTGACCAGTCTGAGGATTTTAGGCCATGGAATCTTGGAATCAAGGTATACTTGAAATCTGAAAAAATTATTTCAATACTTGAGGATATCCACCATACATGAGACACTTAATCACAGCAAAGTTTAAGTTTTCTCTTTATGAGACTTGCTTTATGCTTCCATGTTTGACCTCTGAATGTAATTTCTAAACCCAAGATCAACACCTCCTGTACTTGCTTCTGTTGCTTATAATTATGTTACATTCAGTATGTGTTAGACACCATTCTAAATAATGTGTTTTTGCTTTAACCCTCACAGCCACCCTTGGAAGAAGATAAAATTTTTGACAGCATGAGAGGGCTGAGACTAGAGAGGTTTAGGGACTTCCCAAAATAATAATTGTCTCAAAGTAGAAGCAGTGGGATGCAGTCTAGTTGCCAATTCCGCATTCTTAACTACCATGTTATAATGGCTCTAGCCTCTCCATATAGGTGCTTGTCTATCCCATGTTCCTTTGTTCTCTGAAGGGTGCATACTGAAGGTTATGTTGTGTGCACATGTATGTACATACAATGCATATTATATATAATATATACAGGTGTATAACATACGTGTAGGCATATTATTACTTGCTTGAATTATGTTGTGAGGTATATTGTGCATATGAGAATCAAGACAGTTAAGTGAATGAAATTGTGCTTCTTAAGCAGGATGCTGCAGAAATACTATCTAATAATATTTCATTCAACCTGCAGACATATGTTCAGTAGTTTAAAACCAATTAAAGTAACAACAAAGGAGACTGAATTGGTATTGCCAGCCTTTTGTAGTTGATCATTACATTTTCCACGTGTTTCAGATACATGATTAGGATAAAAGAATGTTTTTGATTATTTTTACGTGAGAATCGATGTGACCATTAAATCTGTGAATCCTAAAACAAGGCAAATGATAATGATTTTCACAATCCTGGGCACTTCTCTGCCACTATTGTTGGACTTTTAAGTCCAAATGAGTTATGTTGTGCTCTTAGCAAATTTCCCTTCTATTTCTATAATTTATATGTCATTTTAGATGAAAAAGAAAGCAAAAAAGGCCATTGTTGAGTCAGATGCTGAAGAAGAAAATTATAAAGTGCCAGAATATAAAACTGTCATCACTTTCTATTCAAAAGACCAACTAAACATTACATTGTCCAAATGTGGCCTTGTAATGCTAAATAATTTAGCCAAGGTAAGAAAAGATATTTAAAACTTTAAATGTTGGTATAGTAAAATGAGTTGACCTTTTCATTGATTAAGAAGGCTTATTAAATTTGTGTCCATTAGTGTCCTGCTTGTCATTCAGTTTTCCACCTTTAACTTTGTTTACCACAACTCTTTCTTACTAGGCTTTTACAGAAGCTGCCACTGGATCTTCAGCTCCTTTCTTGAGGGACCTAGCGCCATTTATGATTTTAAATTCTCTTGGACTCACTATCTCTGTTTCACCAAGTGATTCTTTTAGCGTACTCAATGTTTCAGTGGCAAAAGCATATATATTGAATAATGAGGAAAGCTTAAATATGGATTATGTCCGAACTAAAGACAATGATCATTTTAATGCAATGACAAGCCTTAGCAGCAAACTCTTCTTCATTCTTCTTAGTAAGTGATGAATTACCTTCCTGGGACTTTATTTTATATTACATTTTGCATCTCATTTTACTCATTTGTATTAATCTTACAGATTTTTCATCTTACTAATAGGCTGGGAATTTTGTTTTTGCCTTTGCAAGACTTTGGAACTGTGTCTTTGTATTCCAGATTTTTACTTAATCAACTGCCTTATTTAAAGCATAGCAATTTACTACTTTGGGGGAGGAAAAATATTAGATCTTACCCTCACTCAACTTTTAGAGACTATTGATGGTTATTATTGTAACTATATTTGGTATAATTTAGGATTCCACCATTTGCAACTGAATTCAAATTGAGGTTTGAATTCATGAAAATGGTACACTGCAATTTTTTTTTTTTATGTTCTGCCTGTTGAGGTGCAGGTTTGTTGTCATTTGTGTATTTTCTGCTTCTCAAAGTTTTTTTTATGAGATGAAAGTAAATAAATTCTTAAATTATGATAAAATTACTCATTGGAAGTTTAAAGTGCCCCAAAGCCTTTTCCACACTACATTCTTATGTGTAACATTTACAAATTATGGAGAAGGGCATTTGAAAGGTTTAGTTAGAAAAAGGGTACTAAAACATAGCTTTGACTTTTTCCTAGTCAGTGAGTAATGCAAAACAATGGTTAGGTTTCAGTTGTCCTAGCATTGTGAATGAATTATTCACATTTTACCTCTATTTGTCTGTGAACTAACATTTGAATGGAATGGGGTGCAGTAGATTTCTGTAGATCAGTAATTCACCGCTAATATAAGTTCATATATTAGAAAATGTGTATAAAATGTTGTTTAATCAAATCCCAGATATCCTATAATATCACAGGATTAGGAAAAATTAGAAACTGAAAAATTGCAGGTACCTGGCAATCACCATTGACTGAAATTACTAGGCTCTATTCTATTCGTTATGAGAGCAAACCAGACATTTTTGAATTATATAATTCCTCTCGAGTCATTTTCAAAACGTTTATATTGTTGTCTTAGGTTAAACTACTGAATGAGTTTTTTCAGTTTGAAAATATTTTTGGTAAAATGCTTTGATGTTTTGAGATAAATGCTGTGGAACTATGTTGTGGTTTGTAAAATCTCTTGTGTAGTCTTACATTTCAAGATTTCAGTGACAGTTATTCACAAGTTTTACAAATCATTTGCTGTTTATGGTATATGATCTTAACATTAATGCATAATTATTTATATAGAAATTTTCAAACATGTATATTCAATTTAGCACCTGCTAACCACTCTACTGCTGATAAAATACCTTTAACAAAAGTGGGACGACGACTTTACACTGTGAGACACAGAGAGTCTGGAGTTGAAAGATCTATTGTTTGTCAAATTGATGCAGTGGAAGGAAGTAAGAAGATAACAATTCGCTCCCCAGTGCAGGTATGATGTGATCATTTTTTTTTTTTTTAAAGATTTGTTTATTTGTTTATACAATCACTGGGTACAGTCAGAAGCACAGGAGGGTGAGAGAACTCACCAGAGCCAGAGTGGGGAACAGAACAGGCAGACCGACGAAGTACACTGCTGAGGGGAGCAGCGGGTGGCAGGAGAGGTCTGGGTGCCATGTGGGACCCTCTCCCAGAGGCCGGGAATCGAACCAGCGCTGCAGAGGCTGCAGGCAGCTTCGTAACCCAGTGCTCAACCGCTGCGCCACCGGGGAGGCCCATGATGTGATCCATTTTTTGTAAGCCTTGTTATTCATATTTATGTCAAAATAGTCCAAACTATAATGGAAATACAGCTAAAAGAAGAACCATTTCCATTGATTGTACTATCTGAATATGACAAGTGATAGAATTTTCTTGAATATTTATTTTTGTAATTTTTATGGGACTATTATATAAAATATTTTTGGAGTATTTTGTGAAACAAAAAGTTCATCAGTATTTTGTTTTAGGTTTTTATAGTATGTATATATTCTTCCATTTTAATCAGAGAATGTGGTGAGAGAAAGGCTTTGTTGAGATAAAATTTATGTACAAAAAAGTACATATTTAAAGTTGGTGAATTTTGACATACAAATCTTCATAATAATCAAGATAATGAACATATTTATGACCCCCCAAAATTATCTCCCTACTTCCTCATATCCAGGCATACACTGATACATTCTCGTTTACATTAGTGTTATATCAATAGTAAAGAATTTTTATGTAAATACTTCTTTTATGCAGCATAATTTTGTGTGTATCAACTTTTTGTGCAACAGTGTTGTTATATACAGTTACATGCTGTTTTGGAGTAGTAGTCTACCATTATGGCTATATCTGTACCATTTGAATGAATCTTTAGAGCCATCAAAGCTCTAAGAAATACTTCTCTGTGAAGAGTATCTCATCCTATAAGTTCCATACAAAATGCTCTATGTCTTATTTTTTAACTTTTGTCATAGAGACATTTAAAATTTTGATGTAATGTTTTCCTGTGAATTTTTTCTATCGCTTTTGTCTTAAATTATTCTTTATCTAAAGGTCAAGATATTATCTTATTTCCTTCTAGGATTTTAGAAGTATATTTTTAAGTTTCCTTTCCTTTAACACTATGGCAAGTAACCTTGTAATTTTTTTTTTTAAGATAAATGATTGTTTCTTTTTAAATTTATATGAGCAAGATAAATATTACCTGATAGTTCCTTTGTTGGAATATTTAGACGCAATATTTTAAAACTGTCTTTAGCTTCCTGGATTATAGATACTAAATATTACTTATTTTTTTCTACCAGATTAGAAATCACTTTTCAGTCCCACTCTCTGTTTATGAAGGGGACACTTTATTGGGAACAGCTTCACCTGGAAGTGAATTCAACATACCATTAACATCTTACCGGTGATTTGTTTTCTTTTATCTTTTTGTTTGATCTAATGTCTCTTGCAGAGTGTTTGATTTGGTAGGGCTATCTGATCTTACATTATCAAACTTAGATAAAATCTGTCCTGTTAATATCTCATCAAGGAACTTGGAAGGTTGTTTTTATTTTAAGATTCATCATGTAATTTAAATTATTTGTTACTTTCTGATAACTATAATAATAACTTGCTTTCAGTATTGCAATTATAATCATGTATTTATGATTTTAACAAATGTCTAAATGATTGGAGAGTTCTAGATTTACATATACTATTATGAAGTGACTTAGTTTTCAAAGTTCTCATAATAAAATTTTTTTGAAATTCCTTTAGAAAGCAAATTATTACTTTTATCTATGTATTAATTTTCAGTGATAGATATATAAATATAGTTAATCCTAAATCATTAAGGTAATTAAACTAGATATAACATCTTATATGTATTATGAAAATGTTATTAAAATTCAATTATTACTGTGAGGCTAGTCTCACAATTATAGGTTAATATAACAAACATTGCTGGCGATATTTAATCTGGAATAAAAAATAATTTCTTCTATGAAGATTGCACTCTGTTAGAGATTAAAACCTTCCTCAGAATAAGCATCATAGTTTATTTAAGTATACACACTTGATTTGGGCACTGAGGTTATAGTACAGAAGCATAGAGGCAAATCTGCAAGCAGTGCTTAACTCCCAGTCTCTGTTCATTCTGACCCGTACTTAAGAGTTCGAGTCTGTATCCCTTAGGGTTGAGACATCTAGCACTTTTGGTTACACAATTTTGAGTAAGAGACCTGCTCACCTTGTTAAGTGTTGTATTAGGCCATCTAGCCCTTTTGAGTCTTTAGTTCAGATTTCTTAAGGGAAAGAATTACATTGTTGGAAAACAGCAGCAAAATAGTTTCCAGTATTCTGGACAGGATTTTATGTCCATGAGAGTATAGAATTAAATTAGCATGTAAGATATGTTTAAAAATTCCCCTGAAAAATTTTAAATTCATTTTCCCCTTGAATAGTAATTATTTTTTTCCTGAATAGTAATAGATCACGTCATTCTGCTTTATTTCTAGTAAATTGTTGCTGTTTATTTTGTGACTGTTCATAGGAAAGAAAAGTGAGGCCTCTGAAGTAGCTTTACACTCTCTTTTTCAAGTTTAAACATTGTGTTACATACAAGTTAATCTTAATTAGAATTGTTAGTAACTAGCCAGCTTGGATTTCACACTAGGTACTCTTCTAATCCAGTACTTAGATGTATGTACAGTATTTAAGATTGAGGTCTTATATTTTAAAATGGCTATCTTTCCCTATAGAACTTAAATATATTGATTCTCAAATTTAATTCATTTAAAAAATACCAAGTGTTTTGTGTGTATAAGGCAGTACTGTGGAATACCACAATGAATTGGACATGGGTGTTCCCCTTGAGAGATTGATACATAAATATATACAAGGTAGAAAACAATGGATTGTAGAGACAGAAGAATAACAGTTGTAAAAAAAAAATGTATGGAAAACAATGAATGGATGAATGGATTAATGACTGACTTCTGGTGAGGTATAGGACTTAGAGGCCAAATGTAGCTATGTGGAGATTTGCTGGAAAAGGCAATCTTAAGTAGAAAAAAGTGCATAAACAAAGACAAGAAGGTATGAAAGAACTGGGTTTGTATAGGTCTACAAAGAATAGTTGATAAAAGATCAAATTCTCACTGAGGTAAGTGCACCCTCATTTTCTTTCCCCATTAATATACATTTTATATCTTTAATATCATCTGTTTCTAACTTTTCCCAGGACATTTGCTGGCCTGTTCCAAAACTATTCACACCATCAGCTCTTTTCATTTAGAACCTATTACCATTGATTTTTTTTTCTCTTACGTTTTCTCCTCCTTATTTAACATTTCTTAAACTTTGTTTTAACCTTGCATGTTTCAAGTCTTCTCTTTAGAACGTAGATTTTTGGGAAAATTACCACCTCTGTGAAACACTCTGCAGCCAGTCTAGAGAGAGTTAACCCACTTTCATGCCCTCTGTCTGCTTGAATATGTGTGTGTTTTGGTATCTATCACAGTACAGAATGACTCACTCATTTCCAGTTTTACCTTCTTATTAATAATGGTGCAGTGGATGTTTTGATAATCTAAATGAGTATATTGGTGTTAATTGAGAGCAAATTATTTTTAAATACTAGGAGAATGAAAATTACAGTGAGAATGTAGTAGAATAAGGTAAATCTGATGGTAACAGATATCTGTCATGAAAGGAGGAGGAAACAGCCTGTTATTTCAAACTCCAGAGTGCCTGTATGTAGCTGGAAGTGTGTGAAAGGAAGACACACATAGAAGTGGGTATGGAAGGTTTAGGCTTCAATCTAGCAGATTTACATTGCTGTCAGATATTATTACAGAAACAAATACTAGATATCTAAATAGCTTAGGAAAATAATCAGAATAGAACAAATTATAGTTTTGAAAGTTGTTCATCTGTAAGGGATAGTATTATAGTATTAGATGATTGATTGGACAATTTCTAATGTTTAAGAAATTACTAAACATACTGTAAGGTTGAAATGTTACAAAAAGTAATTTTTAAATATAAGGATCATATGACATACCTAAAGATTTTGTCACTGTCTTCTTCCAGTCATTTCTACAGGTGTGCCCAACATTTCAGTATATATTGAAAGCTTTTAATTGGTTAAACTTGAAACGCTAGTGATTAGTTTTTTTTCAGTAAAATAGTTTTGTTAGCTCATGAACTTGTGACATGATCTTCACATTAGGATCACATATCCAGGAAATCCAACTTCTTTCAGTAAAATGTACACGACATGATAGTTGTATATGTTATTTTATATTTATTTTTCTATTTGATGATGTATTTGTGTAAAAATGGGGATAGTAAATTGGAAAGAAAAATATTCTATTAAAAGTCAAATCATTAGATTCTCAATTGGCAGAAAGTCATGATGAAATTACTAACTTACCTATCTCTAAGAAGAATGTTAAATAAATTTATTGCAGTAGTGTTAAGGGAGTTGATTGCATTATTCTAAAGCTGCAATTATACAACTTAAAATGTTTTTTTTTAAAGCATTTGAAAGTGATTTGTGTTTATTCACCTTTTTTTTTTTTTAATGTAGGTCACTTCTTTCTATGAAGCCAGAAGGCGAGGACTATTACAAGTGTGAAGGAATTGACTTTGAAGATATTATAAAAAATGATGGCACTTTTATAAAGAAAAAATGTAGACCCATAAACCCCTCTGAGAAATCATTTGTTATTAATGTTGTCCCAGAAAAAGATGATTTGACTTCTATGTCAACATATTCAGAAGATGGTTGGGACTTACCATACATAATGCATTTGTGGCCACCTATCCTACTCCGAAATCTTCTTCCTTACAAAATTGCTTACTTTATAGAGGTATTCTGGAATTTTTTAAATGCCTTCCTATCTTTGATTTTGTGACTTTAGTTATTTGACATGAGCAATGAAAAAGTGGTTTAAAGTTCTAATAAAAATTATATACTGGTAAATAGGTAGTACAGTTATTCTAATGGAAAAGAAATGTTTCAATTATATAAAAAAAGGATTTACCTTCAAAATCTGGCTATTGAGTTGAATATAAATTACATGCACAAATGTAGTAGACCATTTAAAAAGTATTTATTAATGTAATATATATTCCTCTTAGAAAATGTGAAAACAGAACTAATAAAAATTATCTATAATAACATCATTTGAAGATAGCACTTCAAATGAAGGTAACACTTCAGTTTTAGAATATGTATTTTCAGTCTTTTTCATGAATTCATATATTATAAATTTTAATATGGATACCTACTTTTGAAACAAGTATGATCGCTAGTATTAAAACAATATTCAAATGATAGAGTTAAATGGAAACAATTTTTCTCATGCTAATTCTCTAAAAGGATTTTATGCCATGTAAATATGATTTCTTTTTTAATATTCTGTTTTAGAAGATTTTCTGATGTTTTCCTGTGCTACAGCAATAGTCTCTCCATCTTAAAGATTTTAAGTAAACATAGTGTTTATCATACTTATTAAATAGAAGAAAGTAGTTCTTCATTGTGGTCTACTAATCATTGGTATTGTGTACTCTGTTATTGGAATTACTATATATATTTTTTAAAGTTCCTTTTTGGGGGTAGAGTTAGCATATCTGTGTTTCAAGAATATCTTTTTCCATATGTCTGGTGGATATAATGTTTAAGAAAGTGTGCTTTGCTATCAGGATATATTTGAGTTTGAATCCTAGGTCTAACACTTTATGTTGTTAGGCAAGTTATTTATCTTTCTCAGTCATTTGTCACAGTCTATAAAATTAGAGGATAGTAATAAAACTTTCATGATTGAGATATGGGAAAAATCAAATTAGATAATGTATTGAAGAACTTAGCAGAGTCCCTGACAGGCACAAGGTTGCATTTTATTTTGCCGCTAGCACTACCAATACCACTGACCTATTTTGTGGAATATTAACTAACGTTTCAAATATCAATAGCTTTCGTTATTTTTGCCTTAAATTTAAAATCTTAAGATGAAGAGATACCTATGTTATAATGAAAGGAAAGAATCAGGTTAGAGGTGCTGGAAAAGCAGATACCCAAATGTATTCTCTCTCTACATTCCATTCTTATAGAACTTTCAATTTGATGCTTTTAGGGATCACATTATGCTTGTCAGTTTCCAATGATTATGATCAAATTTTAGAATGGCAATTTAGCTACAGTATGGAGAAAAGGACTAGAAGGAACAAAAGCAGTTAGAATACTCTTAAAATGAGGGGTCACAGTGACATGAAATGAGTCAATTGAAATGTATAGCGAGAAGGAAATGAGCAGCTTTGAGAGTTCAATAATGGAAGATAGGAAGGATTGCTAATTTTGCATTACCAACAATTTCCCCATTTTTTATTATTTAGCAGTTTTCCAAACTAAAATCCCTAGTAGATAACATTTTTATGTTTTACTAATTATGGTGTTTTATAATGTTTATTATTTCCAACATGACTTCTTAATGTATTATTGTATTCTCTTAATAGTCCTTTGAAGTAAATAATTTATATAATTTTAAAAATATAATAGTTCCCATCCAGATATTTTACAGAATTTCACAAAGTAGTTAAAACTGACAGGTATTTCAGAAGTATTTTGTATTGCACTTGTAATAATCAAGATAGACTTGGCATATTACTCGGAAATGTTAAAAAATCTTTTTTTTTTATTACAGGGAATTGAGCATAATGTTCATACTCTAGGTGAAGGACATTCAGCCCACATTTGTGCTGTGCAGTTGGATAAAGCCAAACTACATTTAAAATTACTTGACTATCTTAATCATGATTGGAAAAGTGAATATCATATAAAGCCTAATCAACAAGACATCAGTTTCATCAGTTTTACCTGTGTTACAGAAATAGAAAAGACTGAGTTAGATATTGCTATCCATGTGACTTATAATATTGGGCAGACAATTGTGGCATTTCATAGTCCTTACTGGATGGTCAATAAAACTGATCGAATGTTACAATACAAAGCAGATGGAATTCATCGAAAGCATCCACCTAATTATAAAAAGCCAGTTCTTTTTTCTTTTCAGCCTAAGCACTTTTTTAATAACAATAAGGTTTGTAAAGCTTTTTAAAATTTTTATTTTTTATGCTTTTTAATTTTTAGAGTTTTTAAGAATAAAATGTTATGAAACTCAAACAAAGTTTGTTAGCTATTGAATGTTAAAAATAATAGAGTTTAGTGTTGGGAAAGGTTTACTCTCTTAACATTAGTTTATGTTAAAAACAAAAATTGTCAATTTATATAGAAACTTTAAAAGTACCTAAATTGTGATATATGTAAAATATTTTTTTCTAGGTTCAGCTTATGGTAACTGATAGTGAACTGTCAGATCAGTTTTCAATTGATACTGTTGGCAGTCATGGAGCTGTTAAATGTAAAGGCTCGAAAATGGAGTATCAAGTGAGTTCATTCTGTGCTCATCAATAACATTTTAATTAAGCTGTGTCTATTGATTGATTTTAAATATATTATGATAATTTAACAGTTTTGAAATGTTACTCCCCCCCCCCCTTAGGTTGGTGTCACTATAGACCTCAGCAGTTTTAACATTACTAGAATTGTGACATTTACCCCTTTTTATTTGATTGAAAACAAAAGTAAATATCATATATCAGTGACAGAAGAGGGAAGTAATAAATGGCTGTCTCTTGATTTGGATCAGGTGAGTAGATGAATCTCAGCTATGTATTTGGATTTTCATTTTTCCTTGAGTTTATAGCTGAAGTCACTATGTAATGTTTTAACTCCCCTGTCGCATTCCCTGCCCCAGTTTTTTCTGCTTCCATAAAAATAATTATTTGTTCCTGTCTATATATATTTAATTATTAAAAGCTGAACCTTGCCATCTAGGGATATGTTGCTTTGATGAGCAGGGTAGACTTTTAACAATTACTCTCCAAATGGAATTAAATTCAGCAATTGATGACTAAGTGATTGTGTAATTGCAGCAAAGAAAAGGAAATAATTTGTTCGCTCTTGGAAAGCTACTATAATTGACTATAGAGAGTAAGTTAAGCTTGTTTGTTTTTTTTTTTTTTTAAGAAGGCAATAGCAATTTAGAAATAAAATTTTGATTCTACTCCATCATTAGCTTTTACACTCTTTGGTTAGTGATTTCTGAAGGACTGAGGTTGATAGAATATTTTACTTTTGAAGAAATTCTAAATATATTAGAATTATAAGAGAAATATTTACTTTTTTTGTTAACTCTTCCTTCTTGCTTTTAAGCCACCCTTCTAAGATTATTCTTCTTGAGAAGTATCCTTTAACATTTCCTTTGAAATAGTTTTGAAATTAAATACCATGTTTTTTTGTTAACCACGGAAGTTTTAATCATCTCTGATAATTTTTTTTGATAATTTTACTCTTTTCTGACTTCCACTTTTGTTGACATTTCTCCTGTGATTCTGTCATTTCTTTGGAGTGTAATCTGTCTTTTCCCCCTAGCTGCCTACAGTCTGCCTTTGTATTTCCTGTTTTATGGTCATTAGTCTAGTGTATGTTTCTTTTATATGTAAATTTTGCAGTTATTGTTTCTCTAAATACTGCCTGTCCTCTGTTCTTTCATTTCCTCTTCCAGATTTGAGAAGACATTCTAGATTTTCATAGTTTAGCCTTTGTGTCTCATTATCTTTTTCATTTTCTGTCTGCATAGCTCTCTACTGCATTTTGGAAAATTCTCTCTATAATAGTATATATTTTAGAATTTTTTGCTTTTACTATTTCCAAACTACTTTTTAACTTTCAACTCAGATTTTTGTTTGACTAATTATATATTCTAATGAAATTCCACCATTTCCAGACTTTCCATTTTTTTTTTTCAGTGAATAATGCACTTCTTATGTGCTTTGTGATATATCCGTTAACAAAATCACAATAAGAAGTACAGCTGTCCCTGTAGTTTACACTTCAGTAGGGGTATATGGAAACATTAAATTAATAATGACATAGTCAATTGGTAAATAATATGTTTAAAAGTGACATCTAGTGGGGCAAAAGGAAATAAGGCAGTATAAAAAGAATTAAGAAAAGCAAGGGGATGGGCATTTTTTATATACGATGATCAAGGATATGACTTAGTGAGGTCACGTTCAAGATGATTTAGATAATTGTGAGAGAAGTAGCAAATGTCAAGAACTCAGCTAAACTAGAGAGAGCTCGGCTGCCAGGTGTTGTAATAGCTAATCAAGACAAGCCAAAAGCAACATAATAGTCAAACCTTTAATCACTTACTGCATTAGTATAAGCAAGAGGCTAAACTGGAGAAGGAAGCAACTCCCTCCAATCCATTTTTGCTATAGAATAGCAGGGGCCAGGAGGATAAACATAGGCATGGGGCTTGTGTTACTGTCAGGGGAGCAATAGGCTGAATAATAGGCTTTTGTAGTTTTATGAATCTGGGGAATGGGGAATGACAAGGAGGAAGATCCAGGAATGGAAAGTACTGAGCACTGAGTCAGAGTGGAGCCTTCCTCTTTTCTGTGTGAGGTTTCTGAGTAAAACATCTGCCATGTGCCCCAATGCAGAGGCCTTTAAAGGAAGCTGCCTGAGGTAGGAAGCAGGTGAGCATACTAGCAAGGCTGGAAGGAGGGACTGAGTCCTTGAGACTGCAGTGTGCTTGTTGTATCCCTGGTCTGGTGTGGGATGGCAGCTTTCCCCAGTGAGGCCTATGTGAATACCTAATTACCTATGTTCTGAAAAAATTACCTATGTAATTACCTATGTATCTGAAAAATTATATATTTTAGTCAGGAGTTAGACTTCTATACAAGGTAGATATCTGAGGAAAGCATTAGAGACTGAAGTATCATCCAGGATAGGGGCCCCAAGTGGGAGAATATTTATCGTGTTTGAGAAATAGCGAAAGAGGCTAGGATTACTGGAGAGGGAAAAGTAGTAGAGAGCAAAGAATAAATTAATAAAGGATAAAATCATGCAGAATTTGTGAGCTTTTGCTCTGAGTGAAATAAGGAGATTGTGGATGATATTGAACAAGTTTGTGTCTGTGGCTTTTTTCTGCTTTATATATGTTCATACTTTATAACATTTCCATGCCTGGATTTATGTGTTTATTGCATATAACATTGTTGGGTCTTTTTTTTTTTTTTTTTTAAGATTTATTTATTTATTTATACAAGCACTGGGTACAGTCAGAAGTGCGGGAGGGTGAGAGAATTCACCGAGCCAGAGCGAGGAACAGAGCAGGCAGAAGGACCCAAGTACACTGCTGAGGGGAGCAGTGGGCGGCAGGAGAGGTCTGCACACCATGTGGGACCCTCCTCTGGTGGCCAGGAGCAGCCGGGGATCAAACCGGCGCTGCAAAGGCTGCAGGCAGCTTCGCAACCCAGCACTCAACCTCTGCGCCACCGGGGAGGCCCTGTTGGGTCTTTTAAAAAACTTTATAGCTTTCTCTTTCAACAGTTTATGTTAGTTACAATTATAACTTCACAACAACTTAGTTTTTATTTTACTGGTATTTTTTTGTTTTCAATTTCTACTTTTCTTAAAATAATTTTTAATTTATTAAATATTTAAAAATATTTTATGAATTAATTTGATTACAAGTTTTCTTACTAAATGATGTCTAGCCTTGTCTTAAACTGATCTTTATTATTTTTCAATTCTTTTCTCATTTTACTTGATGATTTATCAGCCCTTCTGTGATGTGGACTACATTAAATCTCTTTGCCAGCACTCTATTTAATCATAGCTCTTCAACTTTTGACCCATTACTCTTGTACTCACAATGCTCACAAGTGATGAACCATCTCTAAGTTAATAGCAGTTTAGCCAAACAATCCAAAATCGGAACAGTATTGAAAGAGATTTTTTTTTAAGTTTACTTTAGGTCAATTCTGATAGGTTTATTAAAATGATACTTTGTAATTTTTTTAAATAAATACGTTCAATGTATGTTTTAGTGTATCCCCTTTTGGCCAATGGATGCTTCTAATAAACTTCTTATTCAAGTTGAAAGAAGTGAAGACCCCCCCAAAAAGATATATTTTAATAAGCAAGAAAATTGTATTTTATTGCGTCTGAATGATGAGGTAAGTGATGTATTAGCGTGAGTAGAGAAGTTAATATTACTAGTATTCTTACATATATTTGTAAATAATTATCTGATTTTTAAAATTTGCTTTTGTCAAAAATGAGCAAATTTTTTATGTAAGGGGAAAAGTACTAAAAGGAAATACAAGACTTAAAACAATTTGTTACATAGAAAGCTAGTTGGAGTACCTAGAATACTAGGATATACCACATCTGGATAGAATATACATAATATTAATAATTAGATTCATGGTTTCCCAGACTTAAAGAATAAAATTCTGAATTTAAAAAATAAAAATGTATTAAGTTATGGAGAGTTTTATTAAACTTAATATACTTTGGGTCACATTAAAGAGTATTTTTTCCTTTTTTCTAGCTTGGAGGTATTATAGCAGAAGTTAATTTGGCTGAGCATTCAACAGTGATTAAATTTTCAGATTATCATGATGGAGCTGCTACATTCCTGTTAATAAATCACACCAAGAATGAGGTTATTCAATACAAGCAAAGGTATGAAGATTACTACAAATACAGTACCCTCTGATTTTAGCAGAGTATAGTTGATGAGACATTGATTTTATGATGATTTCTGAAGACTATAAGTACTGTTAATGGCTTGGGTACTATGCATGGTTTTAGGCATCTGTTGGGGGTCTTGATACATATCCCCTTCAGACAAGGTGGGGGCTACTGTAAATATTCCTCTGTTGTTGAGAATTTTGTGTATTTCCAATTTTATGTTAGACTCTTCTTTCAATAAAGATCTCAATCCATTTGTATCATTTATAATAGTTTGTGATTCCTTGCCATGTTTTTTTGTAATATGGTTTATATTCTTCTAGTGATAATCTGTAAAATACACGTTCTGCTTCTGTTCTAGATGTTAACTTTTTGTATCTTGAAGATTTTCATGCATTTAAAATTTTGAAAGTGAAATAGTGTCTGCTAACTTACCTACTCATGAAAAATTTTAAGTACTTTTTTTTTCAAATTCTCTTTTCAGAGTCTCTGTTTCTGTTGAATATAATTTGGGATTTTTTCATTCAGATTAATATTAGTAGTTTTTTTTTAATGTTTAGGCTATTTTTGGCCCTTTGCTTTATAACATTAACACCAGGTTGATCTGTTTAATCGATCTAGTTGCTTAACCCTTTGCACTCCGCTGTCCCCTCTCAGGGGACATTGCAATTTATTAGTGATTACGGGGAATTGAGTTATTTCAACGCAACTTTTTGAGACATGCATGTTTCCCTGAAGTTTTATCTTGGAATGGCACAAGAAATTAAATCAAAATATCGTAAAATTACTAAGATATATACAAGAAATGTCAGCAGGTTTTGTGTCGGACGAGAACGTGAGATGTGTGCTCACAACGGTCCGAGCACTTCGCGACGCCACTTGAAAAGAGCGATAAGGGGAGTTTGTAGAAGAAAGGTCGGTTTTCGAACATAGCGCGCACTGTGAGATATATAATTACAAATAAACAAGTCTACATCTGGAGGAAAGATTTTCAAAGCTGAGCTCATTTTGGTTTGAGGCTTCGAGCAGTGCACATAGATCTAACGAGGAGAAAATCGGAAAAGTGATTCTTTTCTTAGTGAATAAATTGTTTGGTGAAAGCTATTTTGGTAAATATCATCTTGTCAGTTAGTAATAACAATTAGAAATTTTCAACCCATGCATTTATTTATATTTTTTATTAGAACAATGGCAAAGCGTCCAACCATGAATGAGTCTCAAGACACAAGTAGTGAAGATGAGCTCCAGATAGACCTCTATACAGACATGTCAAACATGCACTAATCAGCCTGCAATGCATATTGGGGAGTGTTACAAAACTTATCATACTGTACAAAATTATAAACAATAAAATATTGTGTTTTTTGCAAATATACATTCCTCGATGTCACCCAATTCATATAAGTCCAATATCATTATAATACGTTACTTGGTTCCAAAATTATACTAAATACGAGGGTCTGTATGCACGGTTCCGCTGCAAAGTAGCGTCGAGTAGCTGTTAGCCAGTGTCCAGAATAGTTCGGAGTGCAAAGGGTTAATATTTCTGCATCCTCAATCTTAAATTTTTATTTTGAGTATTCCCTGGCCTGGTTTTAAAAAGTCGTTGAGTTAGATTACATGTTATGCTATTGAACATTACTTATACATTAAAGACAATTTGTCATAAAATTTTAAATCTTAACCTCCCTCAAAATTGTGTAGCTACTGCTCCATTGTTTTCTGGCATTTGGTGTTATAGGAAAGTTCAAGACCAGCTTTATTCTTATTCCTTTCTGAGTAACTGATTTTGTTCATTGTTTCCTGGTAGTTTCCCTCTATTTTCTTGAAATTTAAACATTTTACAAAGAGATGTCTAGGATGTTGTTTCATTAATTTGTGTGAGCTATGGTAGAGAAAATTTACTCTATTTGATTTGCTGCTCTAATTTTTTTTTCTTTCTTGGAATCATTTTGTGAATTGATTGAATTTTTACAGTTTTGTCCTGTGTCTTAAGTTTTTAAAAATGTCTTTGCCATAATAAAGCCAATATTTAAAGGAGTTAAATTCTCTTAGATTTATTATCAGTAAGATAAAATGATTGGAATTATTTTCTTACATTATTAATTTGTACTAAAATAGAAGTTGTTAGAGTAGTTAGAAGACTTGAAAACCTTCGTAGCCTACGCAAGACAGCTATTTCCCTTGAAATAGTCTCATTTTTGTCTTTCATTTTATAAAGAAAAAAGTTCAATCTACTCTTCATCAGAACTATCACAAATCTCAGCTAATGGAATAGGAATTAATAAAGCATTATTTTAATTTTTCTTAGAGTCATATACTTGCCCTTAGTTTATACATGTTGTTACTACTTATATCAGATCTCTCAAGGATATAGAAGATTCCCTCCCTCCTGGAAAAGCAGTATTTTATACATGGGCTGATCCAGTGGGTTCTAGAAAGTTGACGTGGAAGTGTGGACAAAGCCATGGTGAAGTAACACAAAAGGATGTAAGTATTGGGTGGATTATTATGGTATTCTAAGCAGCAGAATTTTTTTAAGGTAATCTTTTCAGCCCTACTAGCTTTAAGCCTGTTTTTTTTTTTTTTAGGTCTACTCTTCTGAAATACTGCCAAAAATTTTAAGAGCAGTATTTAAATTTTAATTACAAATGTTTAAAGCCAGAAATAGTCTTATTTTGTCTACATTGTTATTTGCTTTTACTGTGTTATAAAGGGTAAGCTGTACTTACAGAAGTGATGCAGCATTCACTTCATTAACAGGTTTGTTCTATGTATCGGCTGTCATTTTAGGTATGTTTAGCTGCTGTGAGGACCATTTACCTAATCCATCAATAAAGAATTGTTTTTAAAGATTTATTTATGTAAGAACCGGAGTACAGGCCAGATGCGCGGGAGGGTAAGAGGATTCACCAGAGACAGAGCAGGGAGCAGAACAGGCAGACTGACGAAATACACTGCTGAGGGGAGCAGTGGGTGAGACAGAAGGGGTCTGCCGTGCCATGTGGGACCCTTGCTGGCTGGCCAGGATCGAACCGGTGCTGCAGAGGCTACAGACAGCTTCACAGCGCAGTTCTCAACCGCCTGCACCACCAGGGGAGGCCCTAAAGAATTTATTTCTAGGACCTTTCCTGGTGGCTCAGGCAGTGAACACTGTGCTGTGAAGCTGTCCACAGTTTCTGCAGCACCGGTTCAATCCCAGCCGGCCAGGGAGCAAACCACATGGCTTGGTAGACCTCTCCTGTCTTGCCCGCTGCTCCCCTCAGCAGTGTATTTCAGTCAGTCTGCCTGTTCTGTCCCTGCTGTCTCTGGTGAATCCTCTCACCCTCTCACAGATCTGGCCTGTACCCCGGTTGTTGTATGCATGAATAAATAAATCTTTAAAAAAAAAATTTATTTCTAGGTGGCATGTTATTGTTGATTGTTTTTAAAATATGTATGACTATATGTGTGTGTGTATGAATTACATATATATAATAGATACTATAATACATGATGGATATAATAAATATGTAATGTATATTTTCCAGTAATATTTTAAATGACTTCTGGAAATTTTTTCATTTTTCAAAATACATCTTAGTTTAACCCTTATTCCAGTGTTTTCTTGACATTAGTGATTTCTATCAGTAGACCAGTGGCTCTTACTCCATTTTAGAGGAGAAACTATGCATTTCATCATTAAGTGTATCTTTGTTACAGGTTTTTAAAAAATATATATTCTGTGTCAAATTAAGGAAACTCATTTCTACTCCTGATTTGTAAAAATGTTGTGTATTGGTGTATGCATAAATACTGAATTTTCATGCCTTTTTAAAATCTATTCAGATTATTATATTACATTTAAATTTTATCTTAATTGGGAAGTTAAATTATGTGGCTTTTTTTCAGTCTTAGACCAACTATGTATTTCTGGAATTGACTCTAGGTTTTAAGACTTTTGTTTGTATTTTTCGTGAGTGAAATGGGCCTATTACTTTATTCTGTTGTAATGCCTTTACCAGATTTTGATATTAAGGTCATGGTACCTCCTGAAAAAGGTTGGGAAATACTTGAGACTTTATAGTTTTCAAAAGAGATTGTTAAAAGATTGGTGTGGTTTATTTCCTGAATGTTTGCTAGAATTCACCAAAGAAACCAAATCTTCTTTAGCCTGCAGTTGTCTTTGTAGGAAGATTTTAAATTATGAACTCTATTTTGTTATTATATATAGGACAATTCGTTCTGTTATTTCTTGAGTTTTTCTAAAAATATTTATTTTATCAGAATTTTTAATATATGTTGATATAAAAATGACAATATCTTTTTATTGTAATATTTATAGTGATATACTATTTTTATTCCTGGCATTGAAAATGTGTGCCTCCTTTCCTTCTTTTTAAGTTTTGGTAACAATTTAGTTTTATTAGTTTTTCCCCCCATTAAAAACCACTGTTGGCTTTGTAGGAAATTGCTCATTTTTACCAATTTCTGCTTTAATCTATACTATATTCTTTCCTCTTTCTTTAGTTTTGATTTCAAGTTTTCTTCTAAATTCCTGCACATCATAAAGTAGTAGTCTTCTGCAACAGACTTTTTAATTAGATGTTATTAAAAGGTCAAAATAAAAGAACAGTTGGTCATTAATATTTTTATAGCAAGAGTAGTAACTAACATCAAAAGGTTTTAATGATGTAAATTTTCAAAAAAAGACTCATTTAATTGCCACTTTTGCAAAGTAGGTGCCATTATTCTCATTTTCAATTCATGTTGGTTGGGACGAAACTCTAATTTCTAATTTTGGATGATTTTCTTTTAGGATATGATGGCACCCGTAAATTTGGGAGAAAAGACCATTTATTTAGTTTCATTCTTTGAAGGCTTACAACGCATTATTTTATTCACTGAAGATCCAAAAGTATTTAAAGTTACATATGAAAGCGAGAAAGCGGAGCTAGCAGAACAAGAAATTGTGTTGGCATTACAGGATGTTGGAATTTCTCTTGTTAACAATTACACAAGGCAAGAAGTAGCCTACATTGGCATTACAAGGTTAGATGCATTAAAATTTTAATAGATTTAAATGATCATTTCTTAATCATTAAGAATGGTAATTATAATACCTAATAATTTAGTTTAAATTTTGTATTTTGATCGATACCAAATTAATGTTAATTTAAAAGGTATTTTGAATTTTTTTGCATTCATGATAAAGATTTATCACAAATATGTAAAACTTTCAACATGTTAATTCTCCCAGCTCTCTCTAGTCAGTTTCATTCAAGTTGTCAAAAGTGTACTTTATTTACCACCACAGTATAAAGTAAGCTATTATACTTCTTAAATAGTTGTTGGAGGAATGAAGACAATTACTTTCTAATTTGATCATGCTTTTTTTAAGATCTGATAATACCGTCTTAATCATTCCCCATAAAACCATCACCAATAATCTTTTTCTCTCATGCCCTTACTATTCTTATTCATAAACAAATATTGTTATAGGACATACTTTCCCCCCAACAATATTACTTTGGATATATTAGTGTCTAATTAGAAAGCATATCTGGGTTCTGGTCTGTTTAACTAGGAGAATGTAGTTTTAGTCCTTAGATAAACTCAAATAAACAAACATATATGGTATATGATACAGATTTAAATTTGCTTTTCTTTTTTTTATTATTATTTAAATTTTATTTTTATATTACCCTTAAAATTACAACCCCCTTACTTTGACCCCAAGCCCTCCTTTCCCCACCCCCACCCCCCATAGAGTGTCTCTGGTTCATAGTTGTTTGTTGATTTTGATATTTTCTTTCTTATAGTTACTCTTTTTCCTGATCCCTTATTTAAGTTTTCTAGATTCCTGCTATGAGTGAGACCATCCGGATTTTTCTTTTTCTTTCTGGCTTATTTCGCTGAGCATGATCCCTTCCTAGCTCCATCCATGTTGCTGCAAATTGCATGTGTTTATCTTTTTTGAATGCTGAGTAATATTCCATGGTATATATGTACCACATCTTCTTGATCCAGTCATCTATTTTTGGGCATTTGGGTTGTTTCCAAAGCTTAGCTATTGTAAACAGTGCTGCTATAAACATAGGGGTGCAGGTGCTCTTTGGAATTGATGCTTCTGTGTCCTTTGGGTAAATACCCAGGAGTGGAATTGCTGGATCATATGGAAGCTCTATGTTTAGCAGGTCAAGATATCTCTACACACCCTCCATAGTGGTTTGACCAGTTTGCACTCCCACCAGCAGTGCAGGAGAGTTCCTTTTTCTCCACATCCTCCCCAACATTTGTTGTTGCTAGATTGTTTAATATGTGCCATTCTCACTGGTGTAAGATGGTATCTCATTGTAGTTTTGATTTGCATTTCCTTGATTGCAAGTGATGTTGAACATTTTTTCATATGCCTGTTGGCCATTTGCATTTCCTCTTCAGAGAAATTTCTTTTTAGCTCTTCTGCCCATTTTTTGACTGGATTATTTTCTTTGTTTTTCTTGAGTCTCATCAGCTCTTTACAGATTTTTGTGATCAGTCCTTTATCATTAGTGTTGTGTGCAAAAATGTTCTCCCAGTCAGTGGGGTTTCTCTTTGTTTTGGTTATTGTCTCTTTTGCTATGCAGAAGCTCTTTAATTTGATGTAGTCCCAGTTGTTTATCTTTGCCTTCACTATCACTGCTTTGGGTTTAAATTTGCTTTTCTATATAACTTCAGCTAGGAAGTACCCCTAGCTTGCCACTAAATAGAATTCAGGCCATAAAAGTAAATATTAAAAACTATTTTCTTAAAAATGTTCACTGTTCTCAGAAAAATAATGTTATTTACATCGGAAGGTTATATAAACAACAGATTTTAAGTCAATTATACTTCTTTATATGCTAATTCCTATGCTAAAAGACATGAATGCAAAGGTAAATAATAACTTGGTTCCTATCTTTCTACTTTCTAAACAAATCAATTTTAGAAGGAATAAACGAGTACTTAATTAAAATTAAATATGTAAACAGAAAGAGCAAAGTAATTTTAGACTGCGAATTTCAGTCTTATTTCAAAACTTAGAAAAGGCAACAACTTTTCTTGAACTTACCTTAACTGCTACCTACTACCCATTTCTTTGTTTTCCTTTATAGCCAAACTTCTCAAAAATAATGTCTGTTACAAAAGAGTAATTCATTTACTATCTCCAATTCTTTTTCACCTGTTTTCTCTAAACTCCAAATAGACTTTTGCTGTTAACATGAAACTGATCTTGCCGACATCACCAGAAACCTGTGTAATTCCAGATTCAATGTACAATTACCATTCCTAATGTTGCTTAAGTTTGTAACATTTAACACAGATACTTCCTTATATAGTTTCCTTGACTTGAGTTCCAGGGTAACTCACCCTCTTGGGTTTTCTTTCTTTCTCAGCATTCTCAGTTTCATTTATTGGTTCCTTATCTTCTCAATTACTTAATATTGGGTTCCCTTTGTCTCTAAAACCTTTGTCCTTTTCTCTGTTTTAGTTTTATGATTTCAAGTTCTGCAAGAAATTCCAGAAATTATCTCCAACTAGACATTCTCATATGTATAAAACCAAACTTCTAATCTCCTCCACCAAACCTACTTCACCATTAGAGTTAATGACAACTACTTCCCCTCTTATGTCACACCCTACAACTAATTTATCTAGAAGTTCTATGCTGGCTCTACCATCCTAACACTCATAGACTCTAACCACTTTCACTACCTCATTTTTCTTCCCTAGCGGAGCATTTGAAGTTTGACTCCTGACTTCCTGTATTAGGCTGATATCATAATCTTTTAGTTTGTCCTCATCTCAGAATAAAATGCAGTCTTTGCAATTCCCTGGAAGAGTTTACATTATTTTGCCTTCCTTTCTCTGTCTTCAGTTATCTTTTAGTCTTCATGCGTTCAAGCATACTAGTCTCCTTGCTCTTCATTATACTTACAGGTGTGCTCTGTTTTGGAGATTTTGCTCTAGCTGTTCACTCTACCTGAAATACTCTTCTGTTGTCTGCTGATAGCTCCCTCATCTCCTTTAAATTTTCTGAAATATCACCTTCTCAATGAGGTCTCTATTGACCACTCTATTTTAATACTTAACCCCTACCATTTTGTACATCGCAGTACCTCACGTCTACCTTACCCTGATTACTTTTGTTTCCAAGTTATTTTCACCTCCTTATGTAGTAAAATATGCTAAGATATTAGCTACTTATTGTCCATCACTCCTCAGCTAAAATAAAGCTTTAGAATGGCAAAAATGTTTCCCAGCCACCTATAATCGTGCCTGAATAGGAGTTTAATAAAGTATCGGTTGAATGAATTCATGTTTTTGAATTTGTGATGTTCATTTATAATTGAGGATATGCAAAATTTTACTAAAATAGTAATTGCATGTGATAAGCCAGTAAAAATGAAAATGTTTAAAAAATCAGTACTATGGTATTTGATTTTACATGTAAGTTCTGATGTGGTTTGGGAGACCAAGCCCAAGAAGAAGTCACGATGGAAGCCAATGAGTATAAAGCACACTGAGAAGTTAGAGAAAGAATTTAAGGAATATACTGAGTCTTCGCCTTCAGAAGATAAGGTTGTTGAGTTGGATGCCAATACTCCGGTAATATTTTTAATTACTAATAGAAAGTTTTAATTTTCATCTTGTATCTAGAAAAATCACTGTTGAAGAATGTTTAAGAAAAGTCTGTTTTCCTTACAAAATAAACTGAACACAATCCTAAGATACATGCTTTGTATAAAATACTTTAAAGAGATAAATATTAACCCAATTTTCTCTTAAGATACTAATAATCTGTTCTTTGGGTTAACAAGAAACCAATCACTTATTGATTCACTGATTTTAGTTTTTATAGTTTTTCTGTTATACTTCATTTTATTGTAGATAATTTATATAAAAAATGATAACAACCTGGGCCTCCCCTGGTGGCACAACGGTTGCGCGCTGGGCTGCGAAGCTGCCCCAAGCCTGTGCAGTGCTGGTTCGATCCCTGGCCGCCCGTGAGGGTCCCACATGGCACGCAGACCTCTCCTGCCACGCCCACTGCTCCCCTCAGCAGTGTATTTCTTCGTCAGTCTGCCTGTTCTGTTCCACGCTCTGGCTCTGGGGAATTCTCTCACCGTCCTGTGCTTCTGACTGTACCCAGTGCTTGTATTAAATAAATAAATAAATAAATAAATAAATAAATAAATAAATAAATAAATAATACAACCGAGCTATAAGGATTATATGACTATATTTGTAAATTTTATGGATATGGGCTATAAAGATCTCAATCTAACAATAACCAAATTTTTAGCCTTCTATTTTAATAAATATTTTCTTTAAAACTTTGGTACAAATTTCAGACTTTCATCAGTTAAGTATAAAGAGTAATTCCATGGTTTTTTTGTTGGGTGGCGCATATTTTTCAGGTTCGCTTCACACCAAGTGGTACTAACATGAAAATTCTGCAACCACATGTAATAGCAATACGTAGAAATTATCTTCCAGCATTAAATGTGGAATATAGCACATCTGCACATCAGTCGTCATTTAGAGTTCAAATTTACAGAATACAGGTAAGTCTGACAATATAATCAAATTATATTCTAAAGTAACATAACAGTAAACCAAATTTATTCCAACAGTCTATTTATGTAGTACTTTATTATTCTACTTCTTCTGTTATTCTAATCAGATATATAATTAATGTACTGAACTGTATTTTATTTTCCTAGATCCAAAACCAGATTCATGGTGCTATATTTCCATTTGTGTTTTATCCTATTAAACCTCCCAAATCAGTCACCATGGACTCAGGTTTGTTTGTATTTTTAGATTGCCATTAAAGTGGTTGTATTTACTGTGTGGTTTATTTTACTATAAAATGTGAAATGAAATTATTCTCAAATTTAATTTCTGAAGAATCACTGAAAAATTAAATAGCTTGAAAAGGACCAGCAAGTATTCAACAAAACTAAGTGAAATCTGAAGACTACACTAATTAGTAATATAAACTTATGGTCTTAGGAACATTATTTTTTTTAAAAAAACATGGCTAATTAATAAACATTTACAAATTGAACTCTTTTTTTTTTTTTTTTTAAGATTTATTTATTTATTTATGCAAGCACTGGGTACAGTCAGAAGCGCGGGAGGGTGAGAGAATTCACCAGAGCCAGAGCAGGGAGCAGATCAGGCAGAAGGACCGAAGTACACTGCTGAGGGGAGCAGCGGGCGGCAGGAGAGGTCTGCGCGCCATGTGGGACCCTCCTCCCGTGGCCGTGGAGCAGCCAGGGATCGAGCCAGCGCTGCAGAGGCTGCGGGCAGCTTCGCAACCCAGCGCTCAACCGCTGCGCCACCAGGGAGGCCCTACAAATTGAACTCTTTATTTAAAAGTGAATGGGAATTTTTTTCAAATAGAGTGTTTTCTAACCATGGAAACTCTTACATTCTCCAGATGATATTGTCAAGTTCTTTTCCCTCTTTTTCCCTTCACTTTTCTTTCTTTGCTATTCAGCCTCCCCTTGCTTTCTCTTCCTTCCTCTACTCCCTTCCCTCCTCTACTCCCTTCCCTTCATTCCACTTTCATCTCTGTTTTCACCCTCACCCCACACCACATTCATAATCTGCTTGGAAACTTTTTTTCCACTGTACCTGTCCAAACCCCTCTCTACCTAATCTGGGGCAAGACCCTGAAATTTGTGTTTTCACCAGAGTTCCCTGGTGATTCTCATGCATACTTCCAATTTAAAATCACTGATTTAAAGGATTAAGTTATTCTTAGAGTAAATACAAATAATTTATAATTTTATTTTTTTAAAGATTTATTTTTATGTGTACAAGAACTGGGGTACAGGCCAGAGGTGCAGGGAGGTGAGAGGATTTACCAGAGACAGTGGGGAACAGAACAGGCAGATTGACTGCTGAGGGGAGCAGCGGGTGAGTCAGGAGAGGTCTGCTGTGCCATATGGGTTGCTTCCTGGCTGGGCATTGAACTTGTGCAGCAGTGGCTGCTGTTAGCTTCATAGGTTGTGTCTTAACCCCTTGCGCCACTAGGGAGGCCCCAAATAATTTTTTAAAAAAATCTCTCCAAAATAAAATTGTGATGGGTCTTGCAAATGTCAGTAATTTTAATGATACTCATAATTCAGTCAATGATTCAGGTGTCCCTTGTGATATGCATTAAATTACAAGAAATACTTAGCTTTTACTTAAACCATCAATGGATTAATTGTATTGATTAACTTTTCCAGCGCCAAAACCCTTTACAGATGTCAGTATTGTCATACGATCTGCAGGGCATTCCCAGATATCACGTATTAAGTAAGTGCCTTAATACAGCTCTTGTGTGTTAATTTAATAATATTAAGTATGAGCTCATTGTACTTAATAAAATAGTAATTTGAGTATAAAATATTAACTATCAAGGTCATAAAAAAAATTACTGCAGAGCTTCTTAGAGAAAGTGATAAATGAAATGTGCCTAGGTATTAACAACAGGTATTTCTTAATTGTGGGCATTTTCTTTTTTGTTTTGTTTTGTTTTTCTCTCTTAAGTTGTCTATAGTTAGTATTATTTTAGAAACAAGAAAAAAATGTTCAAAGTTACTCCGTAGGCAGTCTAGGAAAATGAAATTGATAGAAGCATCCATCTATGTTTATTCTTCTGTTTCATGTTTTCTCCATCCTATCACCAAGACAAACACTGTCTTTATTCCCTTCCTTTTTTAAAATATAGTTTTATTGTATATGTGTGCCTATATGTTATGCTTCTCAGTTTTCCCTTCCCAACTTAAAAAAATGGATTCAAACTGCAAATCTAATCCTGGGATTTGCTTTTTTCCATTCAGCTTTTTATAAAATTTATTCATTTTGTTCTGTATAGTAAGAGCTTATTATCACTAATACATAATATTCTATGCTATGACTGAAGATCACAGTTTACTTACCAAGTTCCTCTTAAGGCATTTTCTTATTTCTTAGTTTGTTGCTATTATGAACAATGTTACTGTGACAATTTTTACTTTATTTATATAGAAAGTTCTAAGTTTCAGCATGCTCATTAAGTTTTTTTCTCATCTAATTTTCCTAACATAGTTAATTGATGTTTTAAAAAATGTATTCTGCTTTGTAAAAACAGGTATTTCAAAGTGTTGATCCAAGAAATGGATCTCAGGTTAGATCTTGGATTTGTATATGCTTTGGCAGAACTGATAGCAGAAGAAGTGGCTTCTGAAAACACAGAGGTAAGACAATAGCATTGATGGGAAAGATTAGGGAGAGGAGAACATAAAATACTATTATAGTTTTTTAAAGAGATTAAAGTGGTTTTGTTTCATTTGAAAAATACATTTTTAAATTTTTATGCTACTGAGTACATTGATAAGAAGTTATATTTTCAGATTATAGAAACTGGATATAAGGCAAGTTAAAATAGTCTTTTTAAGATTAGTAACAAACAGAAAAGGTTTTAGGCCAATAGTAGAGGAAGAAGAAGATAATCATGTTTGTGTCATTGCTTTTTGCTATTTTGTTTTCATTAATTTAAAAAATTGGGCATAAAAGAATATTTGATAATGAGAAATAAGCAAATGACAAGTATCACTTTGTAACAGAAAGATTATAATATTAGTTTTAGGGCAGATCATATTTGGTCTCTTTTTTTTTCAGGTGTAAGTACTGACCTTTTTACAATTGATTTTAAACACTGTATATGATTCAGAGGTATAGGATCACAGTTCTTCAAATGTATGTCACGATACCATACATACCACCGAAAGACCCATGGTCCTCCAGTGTAGTCTTTGGGTTCCCCCTCCCTTTTATGCTCCACCTCTCCTGTATTGTCAGCTTTACAGTCAGACTTACAAGGTTTATTAATGGTTTGCTTCTGTCTGACCCTTTTTATTTTCTCTGTATTCCACATAGAAGTGAAACTGTCTAGTACTTGTCTTTCTCTTTCTGGCATATTTTGCTTAGCATTATCCCCTCCAGATATGGTCTCTTTTTCCTCATAGAAAGAATTCTGGGGCCTCCCCTGGTGGCGTAGCGGTTGAGCGCTGGGCTGCGAAGCTGCCCGCGGCCTCTGCAGTGCTGGTTCAATCCCTGGCCACTCAGACGTCTCCTGCTGTGCCCGCCGCTCCCCTCAGCAGTGTATTTCATCAGTCTGCCTATTCTCTTCCCTGCTCTGGCTCTGGTGAATTCTCTCACCCTCCCACGCTTCTAACTGTACCCAGTGCTTGTATAAATAAATAAATAAATGAATCTTTAAAAAAAAAAAAAAATTCTGAAGATGAGGACAAACTACATGAATAAGACGATGCAAATTTTTTTTTCCTTTCAGTAACAGTTTATTGATATATAATCCATATCCCTTACATTTTACCCCTGTAAAGTGTACAATTTGGTAGTTTTTAAGTACATTTACAGAGTTGTACAACCATCACTAATTCCAAAACATTTTCATCTTCCACAGCACAAACTCCTCCAGCCCCGTGCAACCACTGTTAAAGTCATGCACCACTTAACATTTCTATCAATAGTAGGCCATATATAGGATAGTGTTCCCAATCACCTACACTCTGATTTTTGTACAATGACAAAATTCCCTAACTGATTAAAGAAAAATGCCTAAGTGCTATGGATGGACCATAGGTGGTCTATAGGTGGATTCTACCCTAAAAAACCAAATATTCCTAAGAAAATATTGATATATTGAATTAGTGATCACTGGAATGTAATCTAATCACCTGAAGAAAAACTTAGTGTCTTTTAATAGTCTTTAGAAACAGAAGATATGCTTATCAGATGTTTTCTAGCAATAGCAATTTTAGTTTCCCTTCTAAGGCAATAAATTTCTGATCATGGGCAGTGCTGAATCCAAATGGTATAAAGAGGTGTTCTGCAGCTTGCAAGCTATTGACTTAAATGCCTTGTGCAGATATGTCCCCTAAGTTTTTAATGTTTTATCTTCCTTTGTAGGTTGAACATTTTCATAAAGACATAGAAGCTTTCCAAGAAGATTATAAAACAGCTTCATTTGTAGATTCTTCACAAGTCAGTCTCTATGAATACTTTCATATATCTCCTATCAAGGTAGGAGAAAAACAAGTCATCTATAATATCTTTAGTAATACAGATAACACTAAATTGACTTAATCTGTTTGAGGGAATATAACATTTAAATTATGTTCTAAAATAGTATGTAAATTGTAACTTCACAAATGTAATTACAAATGTAAATAAGCAACAAAGAAATAGTCTTTTTAACTTTTTTATTTACTCATATTTTTTCACCATGTGGAAATAACAGCAAAACCACTTATACCATGTATTTATGTTTATAGCTTCACTTAGCATTATGTCCCTATTTCTGGGGCAGTTTTCAAAATTGTATTTATAATGTATATATAGATATTAATTTATAAAGAAATCTTGATTTAAGAATTGAAGATTAATTTGAACTATAGGCAAGTTTTTAATGCAAAATTTCTGAGTTATATAATAGTGAAGAAAATTATTGTACAACTATATATATGTACATTATATATGTATATACATATACAAAAGTGCTTTTTGGCAGAATTTTAACCATGTTAATTTCATTCTAGCAGTTGAAACATTCATTTTTTTGAAGATGTTTGAGTTATTTTTAGCAACTTCAGTTTCTAGATTATTAATGTCATTAACAAATACATAAACATTAATATTTTCCTAGCTCAAACAAAAGAATTGGATTAAATATATAACCATCCGTACATCACTGAATTTAAATTTTTTTAAGAATTCTTTTGGATTTTAAAGTTCTTATTTAACTTTGCACATATTTTTGCATAATCCAATTAATATAGAAATCCTATTTATGCTGTTATGAGTTTGAAATGAAATTGAATTTTGAACATCAGACTTGTCATTATGAAGAAAATGCTTTAAATAATTCTCTTTATCTCCTAGTTGCATTTAAGTGTTTCGCTGAGTTCTGGTAAAGAAACTAAAGATTCAGAACAACATGAAGGACTGATGGCAGTTCATTCTTTAAATCTTTTGCTGAAGAGCATTGGTGCCACTCTTACAGATGTACAAGATGTAGTTTTTAAGTATGTTTAATATTCAAACCTATTTATTTAATAAAAACTCCATTTCACATTTACCTGAAAATTTTCTAAGTAAAAAAATGTATGAAATATATTGCAGATCTTAGACAAAATATGGCTTTGCTGCTAAATGCAATACAATTTAAGTGCATATTACCTGCTAACCCCTGCTGTTAACAAAATAATTTCCTTAAGAAATGGGGACAGAGACCCTGAAAGTTTGTGTAGTTTTTAAGACTTTTCTGACTGAAGAAAGGATTCATTAGACGCTCTCTTTGCAAAGGTATGGCATTTAAGAGATGTGACTTCAAGTCCTGGAGTAGAAAAACTATTCAAACATGTATGACTAGAACAAACTGAATGCTATCATGGGGGAAGTGAAAGGATCAGTTTAAATGTTGCAGTCAAGAATTTACATTTTGATGTGAGTCATTATGGAAGCTATTATTGTATCTGGCCAAAGAAACTGAAAGAATTTGAGTGGAAATGACTTTTTCAGTAGCACCTGGAACTGTTATTAAGAACAGTAGTAAGAACCTTGTGTCCAATAAGAGGTAACTAAATTTTTGTAAAGTTAGATAATAGTCAAATTAAAGAACATAGGTTTGAAGACATTGAGGGGGAAAAAGGAGATTTCTGATCTTATTGCTGTCATATCTGTTGGCATAGAGCTTACCACTTACTGCTTTGGGATATACTGTGGTGGGGTACAAGTCAGCCCATCTTCATTCCTCAGCTGTCAGCTCTCAGGCAGAACCTATTGAAACTAAACTCTGATCACTCTTGAGCAGCTATTTTTTCCCTTTATTTCAGTGTGTCAAACATTTTCTGTGTGGGCACTAATAGGACAGAGTTGACAAATACACTTCATGTCCATAAGTGGGATCCAAGGGATCTCTGAATCCCCTAAATAATGTAAAAATAATAACGTGAAAATATTCTTAAAAGGTTCTGTGAGCAGATTGTAAGAGAGTAGATTTTCTGATTGGCATGACAGAATATATTAAAAGATTTGGAGAAAAATTCTAGAGAAAATAAAACCTTTTATTATCAAAAATATTCTGATAAATGCATACATACTGTATGTGTATATGTACATATTTATACATTGATATGTTTTCTTCAGGCTTGCTTTTTTTGAACTCAACTACCAGTTCCACACAACATCCGAACTGCAGTCTGAAGTAATAAGACACTATTCAAAACAGGTATGTCAGATTATCTTACAAAAGGTACAGTGTGGTATATAACAGTAAAACCATATGTGTCTATTTATATAATTTAGATCTGGGAAAGAATAGCCTTTTCAAAAACTTAAAACATGTTTTATTTTCTTAGAAGTGTAGAAAAAGATTGACCTCAATCACCATTTCAATTTTTTGTCTTTTTAGCCAAGTCCCCATCTATGACAGGATTTCTGTATTCAGTAACTACAAAGCATCTGAAACAGCTGTTGCATGCTAGACAAATGAGTGAATATCACTCAAAACATTTAGATTTGGATCCTAGTTTGCCATTTACCTACTCTGTGACCCTGAGCATTATTTTATCCATGTTCCTCTGGTGTATGAAATGATGGTGGTAATAACAACTATCACACATTGTTATAAAAATTAAAGAATTTGAAGAATATTCTAATACCTAATTGCCTCTTTAAGAATAGTGAAGAAGGCAAAGGAAATGTGGGTTAGGTATTGAAAGTGGCAGTGAGGATGTTAATGGGAAAAGACTGTTCTAAATGAAAAATATTTTGTCTTACTATCCAAATCGATTTAATGCTCATATTTCATTTTTAGGCCATTAAACAGATGTATGTACTTATTCTTGGACTTGAAGTTTTGGGAAATCCCTTTGGCCTGATTAGAGAATTTTCTGAAGGTGTAGAAGCATTTTTTTATGAACCTTATCAGGTAAAATAGCTACCTTGTATAGTATATTACACTAATACTTTTCAGTAGATAGTGCATTTCAAGTATTACCTTGAGTTGCAGGTATAAGTAAATTTTGGGAGACACAATAAAAGGACATAAAATGTTTTGCAGTAAACAGTGGTAAGAGGTGTTAAGAAATTTGGGGAGAAATTTTTACCTTTTCTCTCAAAATTTAAACTTAAGAGTTCTTAGATGAACTGAATTGTAAGAGAGATAAACTTCACACTGTGTTAGTAGGAAGAGCAACAAAATGGACAGTTTTGCTTTTCAAAATAGTATGAGACAGCAAAAATAATTTTGCAAACTGACATTCCATAAGTAGTCTTAGTAATTAAATGGCACAACTTAATGATTGTTCTGTGTCAAAACATCCAAACCCCCCTGTTCCCACTTACACATGTAATGAAAAACAAACTAAAACTAATACCTGTTTTATACACTGGAATTTAAAGCATTAGAAATATTAAAAATTAAAGTTTTTTTAATTTATTTTTAAAAAATTACCAAAAATAGTTTGTGCTTACCTTTTCCTCATGTAATTTGCAATGTGCAGCAAGCATTTTTTGTATGCATTAATGAATAAGCATACTCCTATTAGGTTGGAATCAACTTCTAGTATTTTGAGCTTTGTACTTTCAGTGTCATGAAATACCTCTTAGAATTCCGTTACTATGAAGTTTATTAGCTAGTGTCGCTTCCTCAAAGCATCTTTTATCCTTTTTGGCACTCTTACTAATATCAGTAAGTTCATTTTTTAATGTAAATATAACATCATCATCATCATCATTATTTGACTCTTTAGGGAGCCATCCAGGGTCCAGAAGAGTTTGTGGAGGGCATGGCACTAGGACTAAAGGCACTAGTTGGTGGAGCTGTTGGTAAGAATGCCTACCCAATGTGACTATGCTTGAAAGTAATTATTTGCTTTTACTAAAGAGTTATAATTTCTGCTAGGTGGATTAGCTGGTGCTGCCTCCAAAATCACCAGTGCTATGGCTAAAGGGGTAGCAGCTATGACTATGGATGAAGATTACCAACAGAAGAGAAGAGAAGCCATGAATAAGCAACCAGCTGGTCTTAGAGAAGGCATAACTCGTGGAGGAAAAGGCTTAGTTTCTGTAAGAGATTTCCCAGGGTTATGAACTTTTAGGGAGTATCTTTTAAATCCCCATTCTGTGAAAAAATGTAAAAAATATAAATATACATATATATATATACACACCTTTTACTACAAATATTATTTGAATGTTGTAGGAACACTATATAAAACATGTTAACAGTCTCCAACATTATTTTGTTTAAATGAAATACCTTAGAAATATGTTAATTCTTACAGAATCCTGAAAGGAGAACTCTGCATTTTATTGTAAGCCATATTTGATTCTTCAGGGCATCATGAAAGTATTGTAAATTTTCATTGTGCTTTCCCTCTAGGGCTTTGTAAGTGGCATAACAGGAATTGTTACAAAACCAATCAAAGGCAAGTATAGTAGCTCCTTGGGTTGTATACATAATATCAAGTCTTTCACAAGTTGATTCTATTTTGATTCTTATTCCATTTGTTTAAAACTGTCTTTTGGTTTTTAGGAGCTCAAAAAGAAGGGGCATCTGGTTTCTTCAAAGGTGTTGGGAAAGGTTTGGTTGGAGCAGTAGCAAGGCCAACGGGAGGCATCATAGACATGGCTAGTAGTACGTTTCAGGGAATAAAAAGGTAAATAAATTCTCTTTGATATAAGATATTAGTAAAATACTTAAAACACAAGAAATAAGTAAATCTGCTGTCTGGATCATTCACTTGGTTATGAACCCTGTAATGTGACCAATTGCTTATCTCTGCTTAACTCTTTTTTTTTTTTCTTTTTTTAAAGATTTATTTATTTATGCATACAAGAGCTGGGGTACAGGCCAGAGATGCAGGGCGTGAGAGGATCCACTAGAGACAGAGTGGGGAACAGAACAGGCAGACTGACCAAAATACATTGCTGAGGGGAGCAGCCGGTGAGACAGGAGAGATCTGCCTCACCATATGGGTCTCTCCCTAACCGGCCAAGGGATCGAACTCTTGCTGCCCAGGCTGTGGATTGCCCCATAGGAAGTGCTTAACCCCTTGCACCACCAGGGAGGCCCTACTTAACTCTTTTGATCCTTAAGTTGTTGCCTTTCTTTGTTTCATTTCAACTTTACAGAGCTCTCCTTTATTCATCATTCACTTCCAGTGGCCTTGGCAGGAAAGGCTTGTCAGATAAAGCAAGCTTTTCTGTTCTCTTGATTGAAATACATTACAATAATACAATGCTATATTTCAGTTACAAAATTAGCAAATTAATATTCTGGTCACCTTTTTTGAGAAATAAAATATAACATTTTATATTTCCAGCTCAAACTATGCTTATGATCACCCTTACTTTGTATAGTCTTATTTTGTTATAAAACTATTGCATCTATTCTCTGTTTTTCTTCATTTGTACAAATAATCTTAAACATGTTTTCTCTTACTCCAAATTAAATTTAAGACTGAGATCTAGTAGTTGAATTGTTACCTTTGTTCTGTAAACTTGAGGCACTTATAAGTGATTGAATTCAAGGTAAAGTCAGATAGGTTAGAAAGTCAGATAGTTATAAAGATAGTCAGATAGGTGGATATCAGTTTCTTTTTGTGTAATATATTAATTTGCTTCCTACTCTATAGGGATTAGTACTGTCATCGTAAAATTGTTCCTCTTGAGTCAGTATTTCTACTGTTTATCATAAATATATTCTTTTAGCTTTGTAATTTAAAAGATGGAAAAAACGGCTTCAAACTCTTCTATCTGTAACTTTAGTTTCATGAATAAAATGTGTTGAGTCATAGTCATCATCAGATAAACTGAAATGCAGCTGACATGACAATATGAACAAAAAAACCTAAAGAATTCACTAAAAAAAAGTTGAAAACTTTAATTTTTCCAGTAAAGTGGCAAGATACAAATCAATATACAAATATCTGTTGAGTTCCTTTGTGCAAACAATGAATCAGAAGAGAAAGAACTCAAGGGAACACTCCCATTTATGAGTACATTTAAAAAGAATTACAGTAAGTACCTAGGAATTAAACAAAGGAGTTGAAAGATCTGTAAATGAAAACTCTCAGACTTAAAGAAATGGAAAGAGAGCCCTGCTCATGGATTGGAAGAATTAGCATTATTAAAATGGCCATCTTACCCAAAGCAGTATATAGATTTAATCAAAATTCAGTAGCTTTCTTCAAGGAAATAGAGCAAAAATTACTGAAATTCATATAGAAACACAAAAAATAGTCAAAACAATTCTGAAAAGAGAAAAAAAAAGGTATTCCACTCCCAGACTTCTCATTCTGTTTGTTTGTTTGAGCATATTTAAACATTACCAAACCATATAATGTAAATTAAGCATTAGTAGATTGAAAGCAATAAACCATATAATCACAGATGAAAAAATTTCTTACTGAAGTCCATATTGCCATTTAAGATTTTCATAAAACAGTAATAAGCAAGAACAAACTAAAAGTAGAAATGAACTTTCTTGTCTTGACAAAATGTGCTGTTGTAAAACAAAAACAAAAACAAAGCACTAATATCTATATTTCATGATGATCTCTAGAAGCTTTATCTTTAAAGTCAGGAGTGAGACAAGTATTCCTGTGGTCCCTTCTTGTATTTAGCATTGTATTAAAAGAACTAGACTGTTTAAAAGAAATAATAGCCTTAAATTGGAAAAAAAAAAGTTTGTATTCAATATTTGCTGATTCTCTGATTACTATTGCAAGGAAAGTCCAAGAGAATTCTGTATTAAACTCCTTTCACATTTCTATATTCTAGGAAACTTACGTTGTATCTTAAAAACAAATTTTAAAATAGAGAAGTGATTGCGGTTACAAAATAAATCAAGGAGGCAGTAATGTATGTCTTGGGAACTAGAGTCAGCAATACAGTTTGAATTTTCAAATTTGAAAGTTTTTAGGAAAAAATGGAAAATAGACTTGTCACAGTGATTTCACAATAGATAAAAATGCTGAATTATACATCTGAAGTTAGGATGTTCTATGTCAATTATACTTCAGTCAAGAAAATTAGAAGTGATGTAATATAGTATCTTATACAAAAGATTTTTTTTTAACAGTTCGATTTTAAATCATGCTTGGAGTTTTTGATTTTTTTTTTTAAATCCACTTTATATTTCCATTTAGAGCCACAGAGACTTCTGATGAAGTAGAAAGTCTGCGACCGCCTCGGTTCTTTAACGAAGATGGAGTTATTCGACCTTACCGGTTAAGGGATGGTACTGGAAATCAAATGTTGCAGGTGGGTGAAGAAATAAGCTATAAATTAAGATTAACCTAATCAAGTAGTTTTTTAAAAATAGATATGTAGTGCTTTAAAATCCATATTAGATCATTTAGACTTTTATATGTGCTATTTGATTCAATACTTTTCTTATATTTAGGTTTTAATATACATTTATTTACTATAAGATTTTCTTTTCTTTTTTACAGGCATCAAAAAGTTTGATAAGAAAACAGTTTAATGCATGACTTTGCAAGTGAAAACCAACAGTAGATTTTAGTCTTAAAATTTATAAACTACGTACAGCTGTTTCAGTATTTTGAATACAAAGAAAAGCTTTTGTATTGGTAACTTTTGTATAAGAATTTTAGTGAATCTGATCTTTTTTATAGGATATCTTTAGGTCAGTACTGAATTTTCTAAACTTGTTGAAGACCATTATGCCTTATGTACCCTAATAGTTGATGGTACTTATTTAGCCAAATAGGCCATTTCTGTTCAGGGTTCTTCTTTTTGCGCATTAAACCACTAATAGTTTTTATACAAGAAGAATCCTCATGCCCAGTAAGACATGGATAAGCAAAGAAATATCAGGATCACCGCTACTGGAAATTTTCTTGGATTCTTAAGCTTTTCTTTTGAAGATGCTCAAATGGCCATGACCTCTTCCTGCTTATGCTTTTGTGGGTCTATTTAAGACCTTGTGGAATTTTGATAAGCAGTTCACATGAAAGCCAACATCTTAGTAAAGAAAACTAACTTTTATAACAATAGGTGATTTGAAGGTAGAATATTTTATCTATTTAGGATATTTTCTATGTAAATTGAACTTCTAAAAATCTATTATGGTAAAGGTAACATCAATTTAAAGTCAGTTCTGTGGTTTAGATGTGGAATACTAAATTATATGATTAAAAAAACAAGGAGTCATTATGTTGCATAGAAGTGAAAATATTTGAGGTAATAATAAAATGTGGGATATGGTCCTTTCTTTATAGTCTAATACTGAAAATATTGTCATGTTTAAAGTGTTCAGAGTGAAAATTTAAAAGTGATATTTCACCCCACTATATACTTAATATAAAATTTTGTATGTAATATACTTTCATCTAGTATAGTAAAATGTAACAATAGTGTTAATGTGCAAAACTTACTAAAATGTATTTGCATTGTGTTTAAAATGCATCAAAATAATTGCATGTTGGAACTGAACTGGCAGTCTAGTGAGAGGTTTTGCTCCAGAAAGTATTTTATACACTCTCTACAGGGACAGTATGTTATTCTTTAAGAAACAGAAATGTTGCAGAGGTCACCTGTTGTTAATACGATTGAGACATACTTCTACCCAGTACCTGTAATTACATGTTATAACACAATTAACGTGTTACTAACATTTTACTAGACTAATTACCAAATCATCTTTTAAAATTAGTAGGACATAATGATGAGTAAGTAGTGAGGATAGCTTAGAAATTCATCCTCATTTAGGGAACAGATTATAATACAAAAGAAAGTCATGAGGAAACAAGAAAGATACCTCACAGTTTATAACTTGATTTCAGTAACTGATAAATCTATATCTTCAGTAATTGCTTTCTAAAGCCATAAAGTTTAGGATTTAAAGAGCATGAATTTTGACTATATTTTTAAAGATGCTTAACAGGCAAGTCTCAGCATTAATTGCAAGAAATCACTAAAAAACTCACAGTCCTTGTCGTCTATTACTTGTTTTTTAGCAAGAACATTAAACAAGGTACTAGCTGAAGTAGAATTGCACCAAAGGTCTTAGGATGTTTGTGGTTAGCATTTTCAACTGTATTAGATGTGGGTTAGCATTACAACTGTATTAGATGTGGGTTGTTGATACAGTGCTAGCATTGCTTTGTTAAATCAAAACTCTATTGTTTGCAAACAGTTTGAAAAATATATGAAAACCAGTACTGTGAGAAAGAAGTAGCTGGCATATAAACAGGATTTAAAATTTCAACTGCCCATTTACACTAAACCATTTAATGTAAATGGTTTAATAATGGGAAATTTAGAAAATATTTAATACTTTCAAATATTTATTTTAATTTTTTAATTTCTCCAAAATAGGAACTCTTTGTTCTAAGTTACATATGCCCATAAATGATAATTAAATAAAAAATTCATTCATTGATTATGTACCTTCTATCCAGAAAGCAGCACATTATTGTAGTGTTTGCTAGTAATCAGAGTTGTCTACTAGACAAATATAAGGAAAATTCCAATAGATTCACAGAATACCTTACTGGTGTCATCAAACTATTTCATATTGCATTTGTACCAATCAATACATTATAGTTAGGCCTGTTAAGGTACAGAATATTACATTGGTAATTTCTGCTCAACTCAGCTGAGAAATCTGCTTCAAAATTATTCTGACTCCTTGAACATTTCATAATTTAACATGTTTTCCATATCTTTCTTAACTAACCTTTGTACCTTTTTTTTTCCCCTTTACCATGCTTACAGAAAATTCAGGTCCACAGGGAATGGATTATGACTCACAATAGCAGTAGTGATGATGATGATGACTAGTCAGATCTGAAATGTTAAAATTCATGTGTGGTCATTTTATTTGGAATGTTTCATTAACATGTCTTGTATGACTGCTACCATAAAACTCATATCTATTTTTAGGGAGATAAAACACATTTTCTTTTAAAATGTTTTTCTATGCAACTTCAAAAAGTAAGACAGTTGCATTATTTAAGCACAGAAAGCATATTGTACCTCCAAAGTAATTTTACTGTACATTATAACATTTGTTTATATGTTTTGTAGCTTTCTAGTATACAGTTTGACTTTAAATTTTTCTTTCATGTTCACTAGTTTTAAATTTTCTGTTGTTAGAAAAATATCTTTTTTTAGTGCTCTCTGTAAATTTTATGAGCTCTAATATATGCCTTTGTGTAAAGAAAAAAAATATTAATAGCCAGTCAGTATTCTATATTTAGCATTTTAAAAGCCTTTTGTTAAATTTGTTTTACCAGTGATAAACTTACGTAACTTGAGGCAATATGAATTTGTTGTTGTATTCCAAAATTGTATAGGTTGAACTACTATTATAAGGAATATTCATGATTTGTCAAGGAAGGTTAGTGAAATAATTTATAGTCTGAGAATGAAAAATATAAGTTATTTACCTTTTGCTCACTTTTATTTCATTTTATATGTGTGTGTATACAAACACAGACACACACGTATGCTTGTGTAACAATGAACAAGTTGGTTTTTATAGTTATTATACTTAACTTCCGTAGTCATGTGCTATATCCCTATCATAAAATGTTAATTATAGGCATTAGAAGAATTTTTGTAGCAAGCATAATTATGTATTTTTTTTGACAATAATGGAAAAATGTTATCTAAAAGATCTGTGAGCATATCTGTTTTCTGTTTTGTGTACTTGATCTATTTTTTTGAATTTCAACTTAGATGCAAGTGTCTTGCCTGTTTTCCTAGTATATCAGATGTACTTAAAAAAAAAAAACTTTAAAAAGTGAATGACTATTAATAGTATGATGTCAGATCTCTTATGACTGCTGGATTTGAATCAATAAAGGAACATTTACCTTGATTTATGTTAAGCACTTTATTATATTGATCTTATATTAGATTGTAGTAGATAACTGCCTTAATTTTTCACTTTTTGATTTGATTCAAACCATGATTTCTAAGTCTCTTCTAATTCTTGGGTTTATCAAGATTTTATTCCTATGATTCATTATTCTCTGTGTTCTTAGAAGGAAACTATTAAATTTTAAATATTGCGCTTAGAAAAAAGAAATAAAAAATTTAACAGCTCTGTTGATATTCTTACAATTCAAATTAAATGGAAGTCAAGCTTGTGTGTACTAGGCCTAAGAAATGTGCATGTCAAATAATGTTTTCTATTTTCATCTATTATTAGTTTTGAATAAGTAAATAAAAACAACCATTAATATGTTCTCTACTCGTATCAAAGACATTTTGTATTTGTTGTGCACCCACTGCTCTGACCCTTGGCCAAAATCAAACAAAGCCTCTGCGTCTACTAGAAGCTAGAAATAACATAGCCTGTCACTAAGAATTGTTTACTTCTGAGCAAGAAAGGGTCTGGGAATGTCTTCACTGGCTTACATTCCAGCTTTGCTAGGCACAGCCCTTTCTAAAAGTGAAAACTAATTTTTTCCAATTTGTTTTCTAAATTTCTTGTGATTTTTCTGTAAAATCATAGAACAGGTTTTGTAAAGATGATTCCTAAGAATTTATCTGGAAAAAGCTTTAATAAATTTCGGGAGTGACGTACCATTTTAATGAAAAGAAAATTGGAGGTAGGATCATTTATTTAAAATTTCTTGAACAGTAAAAGATTTATAACAATATGGTAATAAATAGTAAACTTTGTTCATGTGACCTTAATGATTCAGCATTCTTAAGTTTTTAGACATTAGAAGTGAAATGGGTTCAGCTACCTAATAGCCCTTGTTTGTTATTTGTTTCTTGCTACTGTGAAATAATCTTACCAGCTTCTTTGAATACAGGTATTTTCCAGTTAAAAAATAAATTATATTGGTTTTATTAGAGAAAAATTTTTAGACTGAGGATTGCTCTGTTGTTTTATCCCAGTGTTTTCGTGATGACGGTGTAAGACTTGGTCAAAAAATAGCTTTTCATTCCCTATAAATTTTATAGCAACTGAGTTCAACATTGGAATTTTATGAAATGCACAGTTCCTTTATAAATGGTGCTATAATTAATTAGAAATTTCTAATTGGAAAGTCTCATAAGAAATCTGTATTTGAAAGATTTGTTGTATAATACCACTCCTTTCTGTCACCTTTAACTTTATTTATATTCCACATTTCTACATGCTCATTACTTAGAACAAGAGGAGTAAAGGAGTAACTACTCACCCCTTCTTTTCCTTTGTGTGTACTTACCACTTGAGTGACACAATGAAAATTGTCAGGAAGAAAATTTGTAAAAACCCTGAAATTGTGGGCCTCTAC